GCAAGTAGCTTTCAAGGCAAGTGAGATGCAGAGGTGGTCTGCCATCATTTTCCTCTACAGAGTCTTCCTTGGCAGTCTCCCATCCAAGTACCGACTCTGCTTAACTTCCAAGATCTGTCAACATCAGGCTATACCATGCTGCCTTTCTTCCAGATTCTCTCCTGCCAAAAGTGAAATATACTGTCAGAACATTCATGAAAGTCTAATGAAGCCATTGTCAAAAATCATATTTAATTGAAATTAATTTGTACAGCCAGAACTTAATTTCCAAAAGAAAGGTGTGGCAGCTGTAGCCTTTGCAATATATATTAATTTGGAATACTGTGTACAGTTCTGGCCACCATATCTTTTTTTATTATTTATAATTTTTATTTTCCAAAATTGAAGACACCAGCAACAAACCAAACATTTAACATACAATAGCAGGAATAGTAATGAATTCAACAACGATCAATCCAGAAACAGAAAATATCAGCCATGCAGGTACAGTAATGTGAAAGTTATTTCAGAACCATGAATTAGAAATATAATAAACTTTGGTAATACGGATTTTTTGCAACAACTCCCTTCTCAGCCAAGTATTCAACTACCGGGAACCAAACCACTTGGAAGGTTTTTTGATATCTACCTGCATAGTCACCCCCCTGTGGGGGCTGGCCACCATATCTCAAAGAGGGTATTGCAGATCTGTAAAAGACAAAATGATCAAGGGGTTGGCACATCTTTCCTGTGAGGATGGTCTAAAGAGGCTGGGACTTTTCAGTTTAGAGGGGGAAAACGGTGACCAAGGGGAAGGAATTATACTATGTATGGGGTGGAGAAAGTGGCTAGAAAACTTTGTCTTCAACTCGAATAATACTAGAACTCTGGGGCAGCCAATGGATTTGTTGGGAAACAGGTTCAGGACAGACAAAGGGCATTACTTCCTTACTTGATGAGTAATTAATTTGTGGGATGCACTGGCAGTGGTTGTCATGATGGCCACAACAAGCATATATGTTTTAAGAATTTTAAAACTTATCAACCTCCATGGTAAAAATTGTACATAAGCATAAAACTAAAAACTTATGGTTGCTAATTTTTTTAAGTTAGTTGTGAGCACGGATAAATGATGATTTTTCATGATTCAAGGGAACCAGGGCCACCCAGGGGAGGGGGGTCCAAAATCCTGAAGCCCATGGATGCCAGTGTTGCTGAGCAAGCCACATTATTTGTTTACCTACAATATTTGAGTTGTATCTGGGTGGGGGTGGGTGAGTGGGGGGCCCAGAGGGAATAATTGTCTGGTGACCTATGGGAGTTTGCGACAGTCCTGAAGGAAATTAAGAAAACAGTCCAGAGATAACAGCTTCTTTAATTCCAGTATATTAGGCCTTGAGTGACCTCTTCTGGCCAATGTACTGCAGGTTTTAGGACAGTTGTACACAGTCTCCAAAAGACATCAATGGGTGAAATAAACCAATTGTCTCATAACTTTTTAAAAGACACAATTTGGCACAGTACTGAGAACCTGAAGGGATAATGCCAAGTAAAGAGTGGGGACACAAATGAATGGAAATACTTGACATTCCACCTTTTCATCCTGTATTACAGAAACCAAATTATCGTCACACTGATCCTACAATCTCAACAATAAGTGCATGTTAGAATCCCGAGAGGGCTGTTTACAACTGTGGTGGGATAGCTTCAGTCTTGCATGGTCTACTCATTTTCTTATTATTCTTAAATTTCTTATTAAAAGTTAGAAAGCAAGATTATTTTTGACTGTTAAGACATAACTAACCTGTGATAAGTGATCCTGAGTATGCATTCTTGCTTAAGGACTTAAGAATCTTGCAGGATCAGATCAGCACCAAGTCAACTACAGCCTTTTGCAAGAATCACATCAAGAAGAAAATAGGCAGTAGCTCACTGGTTACCTTCTGCCTATTCTATTCCACTTTCACAGATATCAGGAGCATGGACTGACTATGGCTTCATTACATAAACAAAATTATTAGATTTTTATCCCACTTACTCTCCAATGAACTCAGACTGGCATATCTGATCCTTTTTCATTCTGACAACAACCCTATGAGGTAGGTGGGCTGAGAGACAGTGTTTAGACCAAGCTTTATAGTTGGGTGGGAATTTGAACAGCAGTCAGACCAGTTGTGGTAGTCTGACATTCTAACCACCACCACCCACTTACCATATGAGTTGGCCCCTTCATATAAGTGGCTGCAAAGAGATCCATTATGTCATCTCTTCTCAAGCATTGGTCTTGAACAACTGCTTGGGGGCTCACAAGTAACTGTAAACTGCACCATGATCTAAGGTAAGTTACATCAAAAGCAATACCATCCTTTTAAAATCAATTCTGTAAGAGACAAAAAAGAGAGAGTGTCCTGTTAATAAGCAAGCATTCTTAACCCTATTTTGTATGAATATTAAGGCACATTAACCCCTTTGCTCCTAAAAATGATATATTTGACAATTTTATAGTTATTAGTTGATTATCAGTGCAGACATAAACAGAATTAATCCAGTGTAAATCCATGCAGACTGGAGAAATTGAATAGGAGTGCACTATTTAATCTGTAGTTTCCACCCATTTAAGGGGGATTTCTTTTCATGTGAAGGAACGTGCAATGCTGGAATTTGTCACCTGAAATGGTATAGTCGATTCCATTATTTTATTACCATCTCATTTGTCTTCATATATGTGAATCACCTCCTGCCAACCTAGCAGTTCGAAAGCAAGAAATTGCAAGTAGATAAATAGGTACCACTTCAGTGGGAAGGTAACTGCCTTCTGTGCACCTTGGTGTTTAGTCATGCCGGCCACATGACCACGGAAATGTCTTCGGACAGCGCTGGCTCTTCGGCTTTGAAACGGAGATGAGCACCGCAACCCTAGAGTCGGATTCAACTGGCTTTCGAGCAAGGGAACCTTTACCTTTACCTATGTGAATCACACTGGAAAGTTTCCACCCAGTATATACTGGGCAACATTTTGTATTATAAACTAGCCTTAAAGACTAACCATACTCACTTAAAGCCCATTTTTCTCATTGAGACTGAAGGTGGATTACAAAACATTGTCAGATAACAAATAACTCCAATAGAGTCATTTTAATGGTGGTGACATACGTGGACTACACCAAAGCATCAATACGCTAACACTAGAGCCAACTTTATTAGATGCTATATTAGTGAATCCTCACCATGCAGTCATTTTATTTAGTGGGTCTGAAAAAAAATTATCTCCCTATAAGTTTTTGTGGACCAAGGCCCACTTCTTCAGATGTTATGAATGGATCCTCACTAATGCAGTCATCTTATGTTGGAGGGTTTGTTTTGTTTTTTGGCAGGAGTGATGTACAGAAAATAATCCTGTCTGAGTTTGTGTGTTTCCCCAGCCCAATTTGAGAAAACACTCAGTACAATCCTGTAGAGCAGAATCAGATCTTGTACTTTATTGATCAACAAAGGAGGGGGGTGCAGATCCAATAAGGTTTTGGACCCCACAGCTCTCCCTAAGGTTACAATGGGAGACATAAAGTTTTATACCCCTATGACAGTCAGAAATAAATAATAATTATTGGTTCCATCAGACTTTGTCATATATCTGTCCAGGGCTTTTTTTGTAGAAAAAGCCCAGCAGGAACTCATTAGCATATTAGACCACACCCATGCCTTCCCTTGGTTTGCCCGAGCGTCCTGCGGCAAGCCGGCCAGGGAAGGCAAGGGGAGGCATTTAAATGCCTCCCCAATCCTTCCAGGGGCCACCCAGCCCGCCCGCCTCGGAGTCGCCGGGGGGGGGGGGTCACTCTCCAGGCCTTTCCTCTGTAGCCACGCACGCAGAGGGTTTGGCTGTAGTGGGGTGGGTTCCTGTGCGTTCCTGCCCCAAAATAGCCCTGTCCGTCACACCATTCTGATTGGGCCCAGGCCTGTAGGTTGGACTTTCTCAGGCAAAAATATACCTCCTTCAGTTGAACAATGGGCCTTCTTCTTCCCAGGCTATGAAGTGATAAAAAGTGATAAAAAGTATCTAATGTAAGTGGGTGCATCCTGTAGTATGGTTTCCATCTAACGCAAGCTAACTGACATCAGGGACATGCGCAGTTACAACTGGCATTTCTGTTTCTGTAATTAGAATCATCAATGGCACTTAACATATCTGTATGTCTGTGTATGTCAAAGGTGCTAACTAAGTCCACTAAGGTTAGCCTACTAAGTCAGACAGAGTGCTGAGTGCATAACAGTGTTTCATAAACTGTGCATATAACAGGAGGAAGCAAGCTGAAAGGGTTACGAAATTCAGGAAACACACAAGTGAGATGTCATTATGTAAAGGTTAAAATCTAATCAAGAGAAATCGATATCTGAAAACTGTTATTCTTTTTTTCTTTTATATTCCTTAACTACATGCTTTTTTACCTAGCCCTAATACAGGAAATAATGGAAACATATATGAAAATATATTATGTCGAACTACTGAAGATCTTACCATATTTTGACATGTCATGTTATTGTTTCATGGTTTATATTCTTATATTAGGCAGTGTCCTTAAAATGTGTTTAACAAATGATGTTTAATGCTTCTCACGTTCCTTTTTGTCTCTTTTTATCCTGTACCCCTTTAAATGGTAAAATAATAAAAAAAAACATTTTAAAAGAAAAATTAATATTTCAGTGGGGTTACTTGCGCCCGTTAGATTTCTCTCTCTCGCTCAGATGTTCCTTACAAAAGGTACAACAATGGGGGGGGGGGCAAAAAACCACACCGCTCCCCAGCTCACAAGCAGAAAAACGATATAAACATCCCCAATTTAAAACATCGCGGCAGAGGCGGCGAGTAAGCAGCAACCGACAGCCTCGACGAACTCTTCCCACAGGCTGGGCGCACCGAGCTCGCGTGAGACCAGCCGCCCCGCCGCGCCTTCGCATCCCGCCTCCGCCGGGGAGGAGCGAGAGGAGGGCCTCAGCGGCCTCCGCCTCCCGCCCCTTCAGAGGCCTGCCAAGATGGCGGGCAGCGAGAGCGACGAGGAGGAGGAAGACCTGGTGACCTATGGCGCCCCGCTGGAGCCCCTGGAAGAGGGTGAGGCTGTGTGGCGTGTTTAGCTATATATCGGGAGCCCGTCTTTCTTTCGGTCCGGGGGTGGATTACATGAGATATAATTTCCTTGTGCAATCCCAGTTCCTTCACCCGTGTTTACTTGGGAGTAAAAGTCAGGTATACTTCGACGGGGTTGACTTCTGAGTAAGCGTTGCAGTGGGGAAGGATGGGGGGGGGAGCCGCAGACAGAGGGAGCGAGGAGCAAATTGGGAGGGGACCTCAGGATCCCCAGGGAGCTCTCTTTTTTTGGGGGGGGGGGAGTCCTGAGAAGGGGTGTGAGGAGGACTGAATTGGCTCTCTAATGGGGCTGTGGCTCAGTGGTAGAGGGCTGGCCTGTAGCTAACATGGGGCCCATGGGGCCTGGCCCCCTAGTGTTTCTTCTGGGCCCCCTCCCTCCCGGGCTGCCCCCAAAGTGCTCCAACTTACCACCTGCACCGTACTTTCATTTAATTAGCTGGCGGGCCCCCTGAGGCCCCCTTCAAAAAAATTCCCTAGCTACGGGGCCATGTTGCGTGCCAGGTTCAGTTCCTGGTATTTTTTTTTCTACATTAGGTGATGTGGGATTGTCTGGAGTAGGCAGTACTCACCTGGATAGACCAGTGGTCTGACCCCAAAGGCAGTTTCCTGTGTTTGGTGGTATAGGCTAGCACTTAACTCTCTGTGTAGAAGGTGCCAAGTTCTGTCTCCATTTTAAAGAAGCAAGTGGTAGGTGATGTGAAAGACCTCTGTTCCAGACCCAGGAGAACTGATCTCAATATGAATCGGCAAGACTGAGCTCGATAGACCAAGGGTCTGACTTGGTTCGGTACACATGCTACAGTGAACCTCTGTGCAGTGTACATGATTTTTCTTTGCATGCACGTTGACCCAGTATTTAACTGCATGCACGGTTTAAACCTGCATGCATGTTGACCTCTGTATAACTGAATGCGCAGTTTAAACGACACATTTATCTAGATACTGGCCCCTGGTTCTATTTTTAAAATGACGGGTGTCATTTCTTACAAACAGATATATGTGCAGGCTGTACATGCATTCACAGTACTGCATGAAGGAGGCTAGGATAAGACAACCATATGTGTTCATGTGTTTAAAGTATTTGTATCCTGTACTTTATCAGTTGAATTCCTGAGGTGGAATATGGTTGCGGCCTTCAAAGATGCCTGCCTCTGCCTACTTGAGGAAGAACAAGCATTGCCTCTTTGGGGATGAGGAGAAGATTGTGTTTTGTCATTGGACTACTGGTCAATTCCTGGTTGATCAGTGTGGCCAACTGGTTGCTGGGATTTTTCTGAAGAATTCTGCAGTAGATGGGCCTTGCAGAAATACAATGAGGCAATTTTACATTCTTAAAAAGAGCACTTATTCATGATCACTTAATACAAATTAGTTCTGCCAAATACTGATCTTGAGTATGCACTCCTATGTAGTAAACTTAAATTAAACAATAGAAGACTAATGTTAGCCCACTCCTGTTTGCAATACTACTGAGTTGTCCTGCTGTGTAAAATTATTTTGTTTCAGTGTTTTTTCAAGAGGAGAAAAGGGGGGAGATGAGAAAGGTTAGCATATACCATATCATGCTCCATTTGGGATAAAAGCTTGAAAATGATTGCTCTATGTGCAGAATTATAATACAGACTGGACCATTCCTGTCTTTCTGTATTCTGATATATTAGTATGAATGAGCTTCTTTCTCTCTATTTGGTTATTAGTCCCATAAGCCTTTGCTCTTTTGCTGGCAGCCTAGGCGTAAAAAGGAAAGACTTGCCCTGTAGATGTACCTTTGCTCGAATTCATATTTGACATTTCCTGGCCTTCCAAGTAATCTGTCTAGGTCTTTTTGACATTGCAGTTAATAAAACATATCTGGGCAAAAGTTCATACTAGCAAAAGTTCATCTTATCAACTTAGGATGTGCTGGTATTTGGCAAGTCTGTTACATTTTTCATTGACTCCTCCCTTGATTCCTATTGGCTGAAAAGAGTATAAAAAGGAGGTTTGGGGCTTTGTTCGAGGCTGTTTGGCCAACCCCCCCACCAAGGCTTGAGTGGGGTCTTGATCCACAGTCTGGGGATATTCCTTGTTCTTCCTGAAACGTACACTGTATCAGGTATTGGAATTTTCTATATGCTATTGGGTATTGATATTTAATATATGCTATTGAGTTTGGAGGAGCTGCGGTGGCTCAAGTGGTTAAGACGCTGAACTGCAGGCTGGAAGGTCGGTAGTTCAGCAGTTCGAGACCCAAGTGCCGCATAACGGAGTGAGCTCCCGTCTCTGGTTCCAGCTCCTGCCAACCTAGCAGTTCAAAAGCAAGAAATTGCAAGTAAATCAATAGGTACCGCTTCAGTGGGAAGGTAACAGCATTCCGTGCGCCTTGGTGTTTAATCATGACCATGGAAACTTCTTCGGACAGTGCTGGCTCTTCGGCTTGGAAACAGAGATGTGCACCGCAACCCTAGAGTCAGATTCAACTGGCTTTCGAGCCAGGGAAACCATTACCATTAATTTTTACTTGTATATGGTTTTAGAATTAATAAATATTTTTAGTTAAAAGGCAACTGGCTCTTTCTTTGTTTCTCACCCTCTGGAGGCCTGAGTTCCCTCGTCAGACTCCATCCACCCATAGAAAAGAACCCTAATGGGGTTGGGGATCCCAAACAGAGTCCTGGATCCTAAAATTCCCCTACACTCTAGACAATAGAGCTGAGGAGAATATGAGGATCTCCTCAGATGAATTCCCAGAACATGGTTCCCCTATAAGAAATATACTCCTCTGCTTAAGTTCTAGAGCCTATGTTCTGTAGAACAGAACCATAACTCAGTTTTCACATCGACAGCTTACTAGTCACTCATGTTTGGCGCACAAGGCCCTAGTTCTTATCTAAGCAGAAAATATGTAAAATGTGAAGTGAACACATAAAGCTACCTTATATTGAGTCAGAATCCGAATTGGGGTCAATGCAAAAACATTCTAGCACACAGTTGTAGTTTCTAGATGGGCCAAAGCCCCTGTACGTCTACAGCACTACATACGAAGCTGCCTTCTACTGTGTCAGATCAAGACTTCGGAAGAAGTGAGCAGTGACTCACGAAAGTTCATACCCTACCACAAATTTTTTAGTCTTCAAGGTGCTACTGGACTCCTACTCTTTTCTACTTCTGCTGAGTCAGATCTTTGGTCCGTCAAAGTCAGCACTGTCCATGATGGCTGGCAAGAGCTCTCCAGGGTCTCATATCATTTACCTGACTCTTTTACCTGGATAGTGAGCACAGAACTTTTTGCATGCAAAGCTGCCACTGAGAAGCAGCTTTGCCAGTGAGAAATGTCCCCTTCCTGTGCACATGGAGTGGCCTTTTATTGAATCCGACCATTCGTTTATCAAGTTCAGTACTGCCTACTCCCCGGGACCCTGACCATTTTGAGCCTAGAAGCACCTTTGGATTTCTGACACAGGGTAGTGGATGCAACCACAAGATAGGAGATGGAGCAAACCACAAAATCATTTATCACCTGAGGTGGAGCCAACTGTAAAATGTCACGGAGAGAGTTTATGTATGACTCTAATAGTAACTCATCAAAATTTCAGCCAGGAGCTCTGTTTAACAGGATGCCTTTTAATTTGCGTAGCCAATCAGAAGCCTGGCTTCTGAAGGATTTGCCCTGGCCCTGCCCACTGTCTAAAAGCACTTGGTGGGGGCACCATTACACCCTTGGCCACCACACTGGGGACACCTGGTCTACTCTGGCTGACTGGCAGTGGCTCTTGGGGCAATGTCTTTTCAGTCACCTCCTACTGCCTGATTGTTTTAGCTGTAGATGCTGGGGATTCTTTGAATGTTCAACTGAATTAATAGTTTTGGATAGAGTTCACGCACATACCTCTTTAAAGAGTAGTCCATGCCTTTGCTTCCTCCTCCCTTGAATTAATCTCTCATGCATGATGCCCCCCCACACACACATGCTGCCACCATGGCAAAAAGCTGCTTATCTCAGCAGTGGGATGAAGGCGTTGGTTCACAACTCCTTTGTGGAAATGAGGGTTTGCAAGCTTCTGAGGTTACTGTTGGGGAACTGCTGTGAGGTGTGAACTAGCTGCCACTCTGGTTCACACGTTACGCCATTTGACTGAATATAATTTCACGTGAATGTGACCTGACGCTTGTCAGCTTGTCAAATGAGTTTTATATGTAGCTCAGCGATCCAAAGCGGAAGTTTAATATGGAGTGGAGGGGATTTTGACTCTGGTATGCTAGCACACATAGCAGGATATAATTGGAAATCTCATAAGACATTGTAACAGCAACCTTTTGATTTGCTTTCTTGGCTCCTGGATCATATAACTTAATCTGAAGGATTTGGCCTATATGTATCAGTATGTACTGAGGTGGAGGGATGATGGAGTTCCAGTCTCCCTTACCAACCTAATTTTGTGGTCTAGAGAACTTCGGGGAAGTAGCACTGTTGGCATTACTGGACATGGAGTGAACCAATTCTCATTTTCAAGTTAGTAGATTGTATCACAGACATGTGCACCTAAATTATTGGATCTTTCCACCTATTATCCAGATTAACTGTTGCCTTTTAAACAATTGCAGGTGAACGAATTAAGAAGCCAGTTCCTCTACAGGATCAGACTGTCAGAGATGAAAAGGGACGATACAAACGTTTTCACGGAGCATTTAGTGGTGGTTTCTCTGCTGGCTATTTTAACACTGTGGGTTCTAAGGAAGGTTAGTAAACTTTTGTGTCTGAAAGAGGCTTTGGGTTGGATCCAGTCAACTTTCTGCTGGTGAAAAGGTACAGAGCAATGTTCCCTCTAAGCTGTGGAGTCTTGTGAGCAGGAATTCTACTTTGCGAGCTACTGGCATTAAAGTTGTGAGCGAGCGATTTGGCTGCTGCATCAATCAGTTTGCTCTGGAGCCCTCCTTCCTGAGCCAAGACAAAGATGTGTGAGCCGGAGGCTAAAAAACTGTGAGCTAGCTCACACTAACTCGGCTTAGAAGGAACACTGGTACAGAGATATCTTCTTTGACCACCCAAAAAGGCTGTGCTGAGAATTATGGGGCCAGAATGGACAAAAGCTGTGTGAGATGTGAGTCATAGTGTGGAAGGGAATTGGGTGGGATTGTCTGAAAAAACTGGATCCAACGCTGTGCACAGTTATTGAAACAATGCCTAATGTACTTGTGTAAAAGTTTAATTGATATTTTATTTTTTTATTTAGGCATTTTTACCCCGCCCTCCCCGCAAGTGGGCTCAGGGCGGCTTACAAGGGGCAAGAGCCCATACATAAAATCCAATAAAACAATAAAATCATAATAATAACAATACTAACAACGATAAAGTGCTTTCAGTGACAAGATGGTTATGATGGCATCTTTGGGGTACCGCTGTCCAGTAGATCGTTCGTGCCAATCCCTCGTTGTCAATGCCACATAATTTATGGCTGGGTTTCCAAGGGCCATTCCCGATCCCGATGTATAGCCACCATTGGTGGTGGTGGCAGCGGCGGCCCCTATGCGAAAGCCTGGCGGAAGAGCTCCGTCTTGCAGGCCCTGTGGAACTTCATGAGGTCCCTTTTGACTTTGTTCCTGCTTAGTGTGTTAAGGGCGATAGTTTTCTTTTTAAAGCTTTATGTACACCTTTGGAGGAAGATAATTCCAAAGTGATGGAGCAGCCCTAGAAAACACATGGTATGTAGATTTGTGACTTGGTACATGGAAGGCACTGCTGTGAAGCAATGCTTTACTGCAGAGGCTGCTATGAAATAATGGAAAGGAAGCAATCTCTGCAATGTGCCCAGATAATTTAGGGCTTTATAGGTTGGAACCGGCACCTTGAATTTTATATTGAATGTTCTAGGAAGCCGATGCTTACCAGTGTAGTATAACTAATTTTAAACCTAACCTTTCCATTCCACTTTTAATCTACTATAAAGATAAATTGCTTTCTTTAAAGGATGGGCACCATCAACCTTTGTATCATCCCGCCAAAAGAGAGCAGAGAAACAAGTTTTGGGCCCAGAAGACTTTATGGATGAAGAGGTAACCTTTCACAAATAATGCAAAATTAAATTCTTTGGCATTTCCAGAGGGATATATATGTGCATTCATATAGTATGTAGATATATAATCATATCTATGTAAACCTCTTGTTCATTTTTATATGCACAAGTGCCATTAACTTGCAGCTGACTTACGGCGACCCCAATAAGGGGCTTTCAAGACAAGTGAGAAACAGAGGTGGATAGCCATTGCCTTCCTCTGCAGAGCCTTCCTTGGTGGTCTTCCATCCAAATACTGACCCTGCTTCGCTTCCATGATCTGACAATATCAGGCTATACCATGCTGCCTTACCTCCCTGTTCCTTATAATGTATATTTATATGTATATATATATAATGTATATATATGTATAACAGCTAAGGTGAACAATAAGTATAATATCACTTAACTAGGAAACAGTGTCTTTAATGATAATATAATTGAGGTTCTCTTTATATATTTGTTTCAAGGTTACTGTTTGAATACGTGGATTTTTATTCCTCTGTCCTTTTCTCTTCCCCTGAAGGATCTTAGTGAACATGGGATAGCACCTAAGGAAATTACAGTTTCAGATGAATTTGCTTCCAAAAGCAAAGATAAAATAAAGGAGAAGGCCAGACAAATTGCAGGGGTTGCTGCCCCCATTCCTGGAGCCGTATTGTTGGATGAATATATAGCACCTGCAAAGTGAGTATGTTTATCTTCTGTCATTTTTGAGTAAAGACTTGTATTTAAAAAGTGAATATCTTAAATTTGTTGGCATACATTTAAGGGTTGGTCTTTTGTGTAGGAGGGGCTGCGGTGGCTCAAGTGGTTAAGATGCTGAACTGCAGACCGGAAGGTCAGTAGTTCAGCAGTTCGAGACCCAAGTGCCGCATGACGGAGCGAGCTCCCATCTCTGGTCCCAGCTCCTGCCAACCTAGCATTTCAAAAGCAAGAAATTGCAAGTAGATAAATAGGTACCGCTTTGGTGGGAATGTAACAGCATTCTGTGCACCTTGGCATCTAGTCATGCCACCCACATGACCACGGAAATGTCTTTGGACAGCGTTGGCTGTTCGGCTTGAAAACGGAAATGAACACCGCATTCCTAGAGTCGGATTCGACTGGCTTTCGAGCTAGGGAAACCTTTACCTTTTGTGTAGGAGTTGGCATTAAAAACACTCTGGCAACATTTACTATTATCCTCATGCAAGAGGCTACAGCTAGGTTTCTGCTCTGTAAATTATTAACATGCACAGTTGCAATAACCCTTTATTTATAAATTCCCTCTTAGGATAACCATTGGTATTGACTTGTTGCGAAAAATGGGCTGGAAAGAAGGACAAGGAGTTGGACCACGAGTAAAGAGAAAAGCGCGCAAGCAAAAACCTGGTACGTTTCCATTAAATATAGATTTTGAGTAAGCAGAAATGGAGCAGAGTCACCTATTTTAGTCTGCTAGGGAGACATCTGGATAACTTTCATAGCTGCTGTTTCTCAAGTCACATGTACACTGGGCTTGCTTCACTCTCTTCAGTGAACCATAGAAGTGTAGGCAGTGAAGTGAATCAACTCTTAAATGGAAAATGTATTGAAGAATTATGGCGTTTTTAATCCCTCTGCCTCACTTGTTGCAGAACCTGGTGTGAAAATCTATGGCTGTGCTTTGCCCCCAGGATCTGAAGATTCGGAGGTATTATTTAACAAGAAATGTTCCATACTTTGTTATCTTAAATAATTAAGAGTTATAGCTATTAATAAACTTATGTTTTTATTGCAGTAATTAATGCCCATGGGGGTATATATCAGTAACCATTCTTAATTTCCTAAAGGAGGAAGAGGATGAATATCAGCCAGAAAATGTGACGTTTGCACCCAAAGATGTGATGCCTGTTGACCTGGCTCCCAAAGACAATGTCCATGGGCTTGGTTATAAAGGCCTGGATCCCTCTAAAGCCTTATTTGGAGGTTCAGAGGAGCATGTAAACATTTTCAAACCCAGTTCTGAAAATGCAAATCTGATTGGTGATCTGACGCACAGTAAAGGGCGAAAACTCGGTATCTCGGGGCAGGTAAAAACATTTAGCGGTAAATGTGTTTTATACTTACTGCTGTGGAGATTGATAGGCATATTAAATGGATGTGTGGTGCCCGCTGGAATCTTTGATTTTCAAGGAGTGACTGAATAGACTTCCCAGTGGCCTAAGGGGTATGTCTTCAGCGCCTCACCTAACACACTGAAGAGGTAGATCTGGATCCGATGGTCTATGGAGCTCACACAAACTAATGCTTTCATGAGGCAAGGGTCATGGGATTAGGGTTGTCAACTCAAGGTTGGGAAATTCCTAGAGATTTGGAAGGCAGAGCTTGGAGAGGGGAGGGACCTCGCCGGGGTATAATGCCATACAGCCCACTCACCAAAGCAGCCATTTTATCCAGTGGAACTGGTTTCTGTAACCTGGAGACCAGCTGTACTTCAGGGAAATCGTCAAGCCCCATCTGGAGGTTGGTAACCTTATCCCCTGCATGTAGAACACTAGCAAGTCCAGGGAAGAATCTTCAAACTAGATTTCTCCTTGACAGGATGGTTTTCTGTATAGAGGGAATCGTTTCACATGGAAGCTATTCAGTCACGCGAGCCCCAAATACTATCTGAAATGGAATGGTCTAGGAATATATCTACCATGATGGGCAATGAGTTACTCAGGGTGCTGAAGTCATTGCAGTGCCCACTGTTCTTTGGTTTAGCAGTCTAAAACCATTCCTTTGTCCTCTTGTTTCAAGACACAATTATTGGGCTTATAAAAATGGTCTTTGGTTGTAATCATTTACATTTTGTTTTCTCATAGGCTTTTGGCGTAGGCGCTTTGGAAGATGAAGATGCTGATATTTATGCTACTGAATCGCTTTCCAAATATGATACTGTCCTGAAAGACGAAGAGCCTGGAGATGGGTTGTATGGTTGGACAGCGCCTAAGCAGTATAAAAGCAAGCCAGGTGAGGGATTGTGTGGCTTTAGCAAATCAAAAGCCCAGCGATATTATCCTCCATTGCCTGTAACTTCCTAGAAGGTGGGATACTTCATTGCCGTGCATTACTCAACTCTGCTCTGTTTCTTTGCCCTGGAAATACTGACGAACTCTCACACTTATTTCACAGAAGTAGAAAAAGAAATTAAATATATTGGGAAAATTTTGGATGGGTTCACTCTGGCCTCTAAGTCAACATCCTCCCAAAAGGTAAGCAAGCCGCTTTTGTTTTCTTTGACCAGATCATTGAATGCTTTCCTTTTTTCTTACATCCTTTTTTCTTACAAATGCATCCCTGCAGGATTTTACTGGAATTTGCAAAGAGGCAAAGTCACATTGGTGATTCACTGTGAAGAAGTTTTATTTTTTTATTTATTTAAAACATGTTTGTCTATACATTTCCTCCCTTTCTTGGTGGTTGCCAGAGTAATAAATGTTTATAAATACAAACATTAGTGTTCGCAGCAGCCGTGTAAGTTCATCAGCCTTTTCAGCGTATCATAATTTGAATGAGTGATGGTTGATTCGTTATGTTGGGTCCTAAGAAGGCGAAAGGTGGGCTAATTAAAAAAGAACCCACCTGTTAAATCTGCTTTAAAACTGGAATTGGAAACACATGAAGCTGCCTTATATTGAATCACACTATCAGTCCATCAGGGCCACTCAGACTGGCAGTGGCTCTCCAGGGTCTTGGGCAGAGATCTTTCACATCACCTACTGCCTGGTCATTTAACTGGAGATGCTGGGGATTAAACTTAGGACCTTTTGCATTCAAGGCAGATGCTCCACTACCAACCCTCCACCCCTCCCTAAATAGATATCACTGATGTGACACATGCCAAATTTTCATAAACTCTGGAGTGATATAGCCTCCTGTGCACTTAATGTGAAGCAGGGAGAATATGGTTAACTGGAATCTCCCCTGCCCTAAGATGATCCTGGTGCATACATACCGGGGGGGGAGGGGGGAGGACAACCGAAGAAGATTGGATTTATACCCCACTCTTCACTCAGAGTCTTAGAGTGACTTACAAACTCCTTTCCCTTCCCCTTCCCGCAACAGACACCCTGTGAGGTAGGTGGGCCTGAGAGAGCTCTTTCAAGAACTGCCCTTTCAAGGACAGCTCTTGTCAGAACTATGGCTTGCCCAAGGTCATCCAGCAGCTGCAAGTGGAGGAATGGGGAATCAAACCTGGTTCTCCCAGATTAGAGTCCGCACACGGGAAGAAATGGGAAGTAGTGGCGGGGGGGGAGGAATGAGTGTATGGTGGGACGGAATGGCATAGAGCACCACTGGTAAAGTGTTGCCACTTGTTGGAGACTATTCCACCCAGGTCTGAATCCTTTCACAAGCTCTGTTTAGGATTGTACTGGGAATCCCTCAAATATGCAGAAACCCCTATCTTGTCTGTTGGTGGCCTGGTTTTCTGCTTCTGTGATTGGCACGACCCTCCCACTGTACTGTTCGATATCGTTTAGGCACTATCATTTCATTACATTTTAATGACTTTGATAGCTGTGTTGGGTGTATCTAATGCTTAACTAAATCAGCATGAGGCTGTACCCCAAACAATCACGGTTGTTTCTTTGTGTGTGCCCATAGAAGATCTATCTGCCTCCTGATCTACCGAGGGACTACAGACCAGTCCATTATTTTAGACCTGTGATAAGTGCTAGCAGTGGAAACACCCACTTAGCGCAGACATTAGCAGAATCTACTGGGAAGCTTGAGAATGAGACAACACTACAAAGCAGGCACCAAAAAAGTGCTACTCAGAGGAGGGAACTGCTGGGCGAGACAGCTCTGACAGGTATCCCATCATACTTTATGCTGCTTTTTTATTACACAGGTTCCGTTCGTATAACCCGTATTGTACTTTTGCCCATACTATTAATGGCTTCTACTTTGGGGGGAAATACTCATGTCCTGAATATACCATAGTTCCTCTTCTTATCTGAATGTCGATGATCAAAGTTAGTTGATGGCTTGAATTCACTGCCTTTCCCATTGCTAAATCTCAATAAGCCAAACTTTCAGTGGTATATGTGGTATCTCGCTTTCAAATGTTTTGACCTGTTTGTCCCTCAGGTTTATTTATTTATCAGATTTATACCCCACCCTCCCAGCCGAAGCTGGCTCAGGGCGGCTTACGTAAAAGAATAAAAACACACAAGTAAGCAATTTAAATAATCCTAAAACCATATCAAACACTCCAACATTAAAGGTACTAGACATTAAATAATACTAATAAATTAATATTATTAGATGGCGGCGGCCAACCTTCAGTAATCTATCCTAGCGGTCAGCCCATCGATCTAACCTTTGTGCAGCTGGCACAGGCTGTTCTGATTACTCCAGGGGACAGAGTTCTCTGCCATTCCAGCTATTGGGGGTGGCTCCTAGTTGCAGGCCTGGTGGAAGAGCTCCATCTTGCAGGCCCTGCGGAATGTTTTTTCTACCTGTTTGTCCCTCGGGTTGGTTCGACCTGTTTGTCCCTCGGGTTGTTCTGAACTGAGGTACTGCCTGCTGTTACTGCTCCCTCCAAGCTGTGGAGTCTTGTGAGCAAAAATTCTGCTTTGTGAGCTACTGGCATTAAAATTGTGAGCGAGCGATTTGGCTGCTGCATAAGTTAGTTTGCTCTGGAGCCATCCTTCCTGAGCTAGGACAAAAATGTGTGAGCCACAGGCTAAAAAACTGTGAGCTAGCTCACACTAACTCAGTTTAGAAGGAACACTGCTTGCTGTTATGAGCCAGATCTCATGTTTCAAGGTGGGTGGGGTGCTTCCATTTTTCAGGCATTTCAAATAACCTGGGGGACTGGGCCAAGTGTGAGCCAGAGTGGTGTAGTGGTTAGAGTGTCAGATTAGGATCTAGGAAACCCAATTTCAAATAATAAAACCTCTGTGCCATGGAAGCTTGCTGCATGTCCTTAGGCCAGTCATGCACTCAACTGAAGCTGCCTCATAGAAGAAGAAGGGTTGGATTTATACCCCACCCTTCACTCAGAGTCTCAGAGGAGCTTACAATCTCCTTCCTCTCCTCACAGCAGACACCCTGTGAAGTAGGTGGGGCTGAGAGAGCTCTGAGAGAACTGCTCTTAAGAGAACAGCTCTGAGAGAACTGTGACTGACCCAAGGTCACCCAGCTGGCTGCATGTAGAGGAGTGGGGAATCGAACCTGGTTCTCCAGATTAGAGTCTGCCGCTCTTAACCGCTACAGCAAAATGGCTCTCAGGGTAGTCATGAGGGTAAAATGGAGGAGGGGAGAATGTTGTAAGCCACTTTGTGATTCCCACTAAGGAAAAAAGTGGGGTATAAATAAAAGTATATAACATTTTAACATTTTGGTACTCCCATCAGTAATGGTGGAGTTGGTCTGTATTCCCGATCTGTCCAAGCATATCCTTTTTAAGCAAGAAAACCCTTTGTGGTCTCACTTCTATTTTTAAACTAGAAAGTGTTTGTTTTTTACTTTGTTTTATAGATGTAATGCTATGCTGCTCGTATTTCTTTCCTTGGTAGGTCCAACAACTTCTGTTCTAGAGTATCTGTCAGATAAAGACAAAGAGCGAATCAAAGAAGTGAAACAGGCAGCAGGCCAGCAACTAAAGACACCTGTTCATCAACCCTTGCAAAGTCAACTCCAGGCACCTGCCTTACATGATGCTCCGCAGCAGTGGCCATCACTTTTGGGGCCCCAGCTAGCCACTGCTGGTGATAGTGACTTCAAACCCTTTGCATCCAACCCAGAAAAACAAAAGAGATACGAGCTTTACATTGAAAGCCTTAAACAGGGAAAGAAAGGTAATTAGCACAGAGCTCTTGTTCGTTCTATGCATAACATAGATGTAATACATCTATGTTATGTTGTGTTCACGACTCTCCCATTTTCCAGAATGTAGCCGTCTCTCTTGATTTGTGCTAAAATTTCTATTATGCTTCATTGGCAAAAGTATCATAATTGATTCCCAAGAATGTGTTCCCCCTTTTGCATATGTATTCAAGTTCACAGTTTATATCTCAGCTTGCTTTTCTTGGGCTGTTAATTACCTCTGCTTTTCTCCCCCATTAGATGTGCCAGGAAGCTGTTCAGATCAAAGTCTGACAGAATGGGAGCGTGGAAGGGAGCAGGAGGAGTTCCTTCGTGCCGCAGTGCTCTACAAACCCTCCAGCTCCGTCTTGTCGTCTAGGTTTACTCACGCAAAGCACGAGGATGACACCGACAAAGTAGAAGTCGCTCGAGATCAGGAGGTGTGTCCTTGGGGTCACTGTGATGTATTGTTCACATTTTCAGTAACTTCCATAAAAAATAAATATCTCTGGAAATGAATTTACAGTGGGTTACATTCTGTCTAAGGGGCCGCGGTGGCTCAGAGGTTAAAACACTGAGCTGCAGACCTGAAGGTCTGTAGCTCAGCAGCTCGAGACCCTAGTGAGCTCCCGTCTCTGGCCCCAGCTCCTGCCAACCTAGCAGTCCGAAAGCAAGAAATTGCAAGTAGATAAATAGATACCACTCCGGTGGGCACGTAACAGTGTTCCGTGCGTGTTGGCGTTTAGTCATGCCGGCCACATGACCACGGAGAGGTCTTCGGACAACGCTGGCTCTTCGGTTTGGAAACGAAGATGAGCACCGCCCCCTAGAGTTGGATTTGACTGGCTTTCAAGCAAGGGAAACCTTTACCTTTACCTAGAGGCTATCTATCTGTCTGTCTATCACATGTCTATCAGCTAGACATCTATCATCTATTTATATTTCTATCTGTTGTCTATCCATCTTTTATTTGTTTCACTTATACCCCACCTGTGTCCCTAATGGGGACCCAAAGTGGCTTACATCATTCTCCTGTGAGGAACGGAAGGCTCAATGTATGACTGGCCCAAGGTTACCCAGTAAGCTTCCGTGGCAAAGTGGGGATTCGAACCTAGGTCTCCCAGACCCTAGTCCAACCCTCTGACCACTACACCGCACTGGTTCGTTTTCACTCTTCCTTATGTTATTCCCATTCTTACAGCAGCTCTTGACCCGCATTGTATGTGTCCCATGAGTCCCACCATAGATTTTGGGGGTGGTCAAAGGGGAACCCCCTTTTCATCAGCAATCCAACCCACTTTCTGCAACTGACTTTCATGTTCTCCAGCACTGGGAATACTAATAACTGCGTGGTTGTTCTAGACTGACCTTGATGACAAACAGGCCGCTGCAAAGATGAAGATGTTTGGCAAGCTCACAAGAGAGAAGTTTGAGTGGCATCCAGACAAACTACTGTGCAAGAGGTTTAACATTCCTGATCCTTATTCAGAGTAAGTTGGATTGAATATTCAGTTTAAAAAAAAAAAACCCTATACTTTTGGGTAGCTATGGAATAGATGCAAACAGTTCTAGGTAGTTGTACAATTCGTTTATTGCGTAAAATTTTGGAACTCTTGACAACAAATAATTTATATTTGCCTTTTATTAATAGCATACTTGTTTTCTTATTTTTGGACATCCTTAGCTCTGTGATGGCAAGATATTAACAAAAGAGTTTGACCCCCTAAGCCCCTGTTTTTATTTTCCATCAGATCAAGTATTGTTGGGTTGCCCAAAGTGAAACGTGACAAGTATTCTGTATTTAATTTCTTGACGGTATCAGAGCCAACACCAAAGACGATGAGTCAGCCCGCAAATGTAGCGGTGCAGCAAAATAATTCTCCCAATAGTAAGTGGTCAATTGCTTTCTTACATTAAAAGATTTAAACTGTTGACAGTGTTGAAACACAGTAGGGTGTAGTGCTGTGGTCCTACCTGTGGGTGGAGACACTCACCTGGGTCATAGTGCACAGTTTGCTGTTTTGCAAGCCCCTAAGTAGCTCTCCCCCTCCCCGTTTTTTTGCTACATTTTGGAAGGCCCTGCTGCTTGTGTGCATGTGCAGACAGCAATAGCATCGTGCCTCCCGCCTCCAGCTAAGAGGCACAGCAGGATGGGATAGAGAAAGAATGGTAGAGAAAGAAGGTAGAGAGAGAATGGGATAGAGGAGGGGGTGGCCAGACTGCGGCTCAAGAGCCACATGCGGCTCTTTCACACATATTGTGCTGCTCCCAGCAGGGCAACTGGAGAAGCAAAGGGGGGGGGGGAGGCATGCTTCCCCGATCGGTCTTCTCTTCCCCGGCCAGTGTTCCCCTCCCTGGGTAGGATTGAGGTGGTGGTGGTGGAAACAGAGAAAGAAAGCAAATTTAACTTTAAATGCATTCTCAAAGCCCCCCCTCCCCCAGCCTACAAGTATCATTGGATAAGTAAATATAATTATCAATATCTGTTTTTATCCCTTTTATTTTTATTTTTGGCAGTCTCATTTATAACGTTAATAAAAACCAAATCTGCATATTTTCCAGTAAAAATGTGTGTAATATTTGTTCATGTCTTGCGGCTCTCAAACATCTCAGGTTTATTATTCTATGTGGCTCTTACGTTAAGCAAGTTTTGGGCACCCCTGGGGTAGAGCATGGGATGGAGATGGTACAGAAAGAAGTACTTTTCTCCGTTTCTCACAATACAAGAACTTGTGAGCACTCAATGAAATTAATGAGCAGTAGGCTTAGAACAGATAAAAGGAAGTACTTCTTCACCCAAAAAGTAATTAACTTGTGGAATTCACTGCCGCAGGAAGTGGTGGCGGTTATAAGCATAGACAGCTTCCAGGGGATCAGATAAACATGGATCAGAAGTCCATCATTGGCTGTTAGCTACAAAGTAGATGGAACACCTGTGTCTGGGCCAGTGATGCTTGGTGCTTGGGGGGGGCAAGAGTGGGAAGGCTTCTGGAGTTCTGGCCCCGTGGTGGACCTCATGATGGCACCTGGGTTTTGGCCACTGTGTGACAGAGTGTTGGACTGGCTGGACCACTGGCCTGATCCACCGTGACCTCTCTTATGTTCTCATGATGGTGTGTTGAGGTCAGTCAGTGTTGGATGCATTTTTTAACTGACCAAAGAAATTAAATAACATTGAAACTGTACTGCATTTGTATCTTTAAGAGCCAAAAAAGCCTTCAAGATGGGATGTCTCTGACAAACAGAAAAAGAAAAAGGATGCCATTAGCGAGTTCATAAGTTTGGCTAGATCAAAGGTTGATATTAAGGAGCAGCAGCCACTCGCAGAGGAGTCCAAGAACACCAGTAAGACTAATGAAGCTGCTTCCAGTAAGGTACACTGGCTCCAACTGTTTGACACTTCCAATAAAGGTTAATTGTGTTGTTTAACATACTCGGGCCCCCCCCCCCCACCTTTATCACCTTGGGTCACAGAATATTTTCATTAGGACTAAGCTACTTCCCTGCCTTGGAGATGGTGGAGATGGAAAACAAGTTTTCCAAATGAATGCACACAAGCTTCTATAGACTTGCAGGATTGTATGCCCCTAGTGGTACCGCCTTCTCGTTTGAACAGGAACTTGTCTCCCCCCTCTGCTCTGATGCCCCAGTAGACAGAAGTGTGTTGTAACTTTTTCAAGGGCTCCTCAGCATACAAACAACTCAAGGATTATAACATGGAAGGATCCCCAGACCCCTCCGAGAGCCAAGAACACACTGCTAACTTCAGTTGTCATCCCATAGTTGATTAAAAGGGCTACATATGGAATTAGCTGGTGGCCCCTTTCCAGGAGAAGAGTTTGAGTCCCTTTCTGATAAATTCCATCAAATTTATACCACATGAAAGCTCTTTTGGGGTTAATGGTTTCTTATGTGCAGGAATAGTAACTTTGCATCCCACTACTTTTCACATTATCATTTAACAAGTATCTTTTTTTCTGTGGAGTACTGTCTGTCTGGTATATTACTGGCAATACCAGTGTCTGCATTAACAAGCCCTGTCAATAAAGCAGAGAAAACTGCTATGGCTGCTAAGTGCATATCTAAATCTGCCCCAAACTAGACTGAACACTGAATTACATCTGAAGGGACTGAACCACATGTTTCTCACAAAACTGTAGCCAGGTTTTAGTGTAAACTTTCTAAAAAGCAAAGGATGCCTGTTAAGCTCCACTAGAGGTAGATTAGGGTACCCATTATGTTTTGTTAGAGTTCAGCTGTTTCACAGTTTGGGCTCCAATTACCGGGGGGGGGGGGGTAGGGGATCTAACAGCTGAACTTTTAAATGTAATCGATTTTTTAAAGCATATTTGGAGCTGTTGTCTTGTAACCTTGATTCGTGATATCCTCCAGTTTTACATATAAATCATTCAAGCTGTCATTAAGCATCTTGAAATGGCTGGCTGCTCCTTCTTTAGCCTGAACTCATCTCGGAGTGTCTTTTCTCTGGAGTACTGTCTGTCTGGCATGTTATTGGCAATACCAGTAATATAGAAACATCCTGTGTTGTGTTTGGGCCTTCTTACATTTGCTGTGGACATTCCCACTTGTTAACCACCATAGTGGAACTGTTGAAGCTTCTGCCTCAGACATGCTCATGCTGAAATAAATTTTGTGAGCCTTTAAGGTGCTGTGTGATTTTGTTGACTTGGTTTTTTTCGTGCAGGTGGTGCAGGAAGAATCTGGTCTAAATGAAGACGTAAATGAGGAAGAAAGCAGGCCATCGATGGATTTATTTAAAGCCATCTTCGCCAGCTCCTCAGATGAAAAATCATCATCCTCTGAAGAAGAGAGTGAGGGGGAGGAGGAGCCGGCAGCAGTGCCTGGACCGGACTTGGATACTTCGAAGCACCATGATGAGTCAAGTGGCCTTCCATCTGAAGGACAAAGTAAGGGATCGCTTTCTTTTCGTGGGTTTTCATGAGTAAATGAAGGCTGATCTTGTAAAAGGACGTAGAATTAGCTTCAGACGGACAGCAGATTGAAAAACTGTTGCAAGGAACCTTGTTAATCCTTCAACTCTTTATCAGGAAAAAAAAGCTGCTGTGAATACTTAAAACAGGTGATGTAATGTCGTAGGTTGTACCAGCCTTTGCTATGTCACCTGTGTCAGAGGCAGGATCCTGACAGTATATACCTAAAAGGAGAACATGGAAATAAGGAGAAAATCCAAGATATAAAAAAGTCTGTGTGAATAACTAATGACCCATAAATGACTAGATTCAATAATGATATATTAATATAATAATATGTAAATAACCTATAACCACAACATAGTGCATAAATCAATACTACATTCACATATTAATATATCATTATTGAATCTAGTCATTTATGGGTTATTAGTTATTCACATGGACATTTCTATATCTAAGACCCTGACAGTAGCATCTGAAGCAGAGTTATAGCTGTCAAATGTCCATAGGCATTGAAGTGTAACTCTGCTTAGAATGACACCGTGAATAGCAGGCAGTATCAATGACTTAGCAAGGTGGTTCTTGCTGTGTTTAGAAGAAGAATGTGCTATCGAGTCACAACTGACTCACGGCAACTCCAACCATGGGTGCTCAAGGCCAGAGATGAGCAGAGGTGGTTTGCCTTTGTCTTCCTCTGCATAGTATTCCTCCATTTTCCTTGGTGGTCTCCCACCTAAGTACTGACCGTGGCCAACCCTGCCTGGGCCAAACTGAGCTATTCAGGCAGCTGCTGCATTTAGAGCACCAGTTTAATCATTCTTATATTGTGCTTTTTGTTTTTGTTTTTTTCTGCTAAAGAAAGTGAAGTTATTGCTCCTGAGATCTCTGTTACTATAACTCCACCTTCAAAGGAAGTTGTTGATCAAGGAGAAGAATTTGGACCAAGGCTGCCTCCAGTTGGTGGATCTGGTAAATGTTAATATTTTCTGGATTAATATGTGAATTCTTTACTGAGAGTATATTAATACATTGCAGGGTTCTAAACTTTGTGTAACATAATTATATATAGAAATGTAAAGGTCTTTCTTAAAATTTCAGAGGTAGATATTGGAATCAGGCCGCTAATGAAGACTGTAACTCTGAACTTCATTTAACATTGTAGTTAATTATGCATTTAGATTGGGATGCAGTCGTAAAGCTTGGATTCTTCATCTTAGGTGATCTCCCACCCCCCGGTCTAAACCTCAAGCAATCCTTAAACCAGCTGCCTGCAGTGAGGGGAACCACCTTAAAAGGCCTTTATGTAGTTTAAAAAGGTAAAGATTCCCTTGCTCGAAAGCCAGTTGAATCCGACTCTAGGGTTGCGGTGCTCATCTCCGTTTCAAAGCCGAAGAGCCAGCACTGTCCGATGACGTTTCCGTGGTCATGTGGCCGGCATGACTAAACACCAAGGCACATGGAATGCTGTTACCTTCCCACCGAAGTGGTACCTATTTATCTACTTGCAATTTCTTGCTTTCGAACTGCTAGGTTGGCAGGAGCTGGAACTAGAGACAGGAGCTCACTCCGTCTTGCGGCACCCGGGTCTCGAACTGCTGAACTACTGACCTTCCACAGCCTGCAGTTCAGCATCTTAACCACTTGAGCCACCGCAGCTCCTTATGTAGTTTAGTTGCATATAAATTTTGTTATTGCATATCTGGGGAGGGAAAATTTGAATTTTGTTTCTGCAGAATAGTTCTTTTTAATCTGCCTTGGTTGGTCCTGTTAATACATTTTCCTTTTATCAAGAGAAAGATATGCATCTGCCAGCACCTTCTGCTGACAGGTTATTGTATCCAACCTCAATATCAATACCAACTTTAATAATCAGCAGCCTGACAAAAACCCAGACTATGGTGGTAGTTGATTACTTGGACGCTGAGAGAATGTCGCCATCGTTTAAGAATATACTAGCACTTTATGATGTGTTTTTACCTTATATGTTGTGGTTTTATTTACATTCTGTCTTTTAGCTGTTTTAACATATATTGCGTAAGCCGCCCTAAGCCTGCCTTGGCAGGGAGGGTGGGATACAAATTAAACAAATAAATAAATAATCCCCTAGACGACCAAATATCTAAGCTTAAGTAACCAGAAGTGTTTTGGCATAATATATATGATTTATCATGATTGTGAGTGTGTTCTCCGCATCTGATTTTGTGCTTCAGGAGCTCTGCTGAAAGACGAGGACATGCAGCTAGAAAGCTCTGAAGCCAGCAAGAAAGAGAGACCTAAAAAGAGCAAAGAGAAACACAAGGCCAAAAGAGAGCACAAACACAAGAAGGAAAAGGTAAAGTTCAGTGTTAATTCATTTGCGAACCTAAGAGTGCTGTGTAGAATCCATCCCCTCCACCCCAGTCATGAATAGAACTTGACAAAAAGCGTGCTGGCAGGCGCCTGTGCATTGGGCTTCAGGTTTGCATAGAGGCCTGCATTGTTAGGCCACTATCTACACAGTCTGACCATCTTGATTTTGTAGTGTACTGATTGCATGGCTGGAGCTTGTGTGCATTGGTCTTTGCGTGTGGGGGGGGCTGTGCAAGTGCAAATGTTGAGCCAGGGTGCGCGTGCAGAGGGTGGGAAGTATGTACGTGATCTCAATTAAATCCTACTCTTGATGTGGGGAGTTCTGCATTGGGTAAGTATCATGGATTAGAAAAATGTTGTAAACAGCCATATTGACCTATGCAAAGTCCAAAACAAAAGCCCCGAATCCATGTCATACCTTTTACTGATTCCAATAAAAGGTATGACATGGATTTTGGCGCTTTTGTTTTGGCTTCAGTATCAAAAAGGGTTAAGAGAGGAGAATTATGATGGGAATAGTAAATATTAATATGATGGGAATATTAAACAGGCTGCAAACCTGTACATACCTATCTAGGAATTAAATCCATTGAAATGTTTAGGATTTATGTGTATACATTCCCCTATTAAACCACTTTCAGTCTTTTATCTTGGTACTGTCATTTGGTCATCTTACATATATTTTGGGTTGCTTTTCCTTTGTTTTTCCTTCGCTGCATTTCTTTTCTAAGGTATAGAAAGAAACTAATGCTAAGATCTGAACTTATTTCGCAGAAAAAGAAACACAAGAAACACAAACATAAGAGCAAGCATAAGAATAAAAAACCTGAGAAAACCAGTGACTCAGACTCTGCCAACAGCAGCGAAAGCCACAGTGAAGAAGAGACCGCTCTGTCCCCACAGGAGCTTTTACAAAGGTAGCAGCTCAAAAGAGACCATCTGGTCCAACACTCTATGTCACACAGTGGCTCAGAACCAGGTGCCATCAAGAGAAACAGCTTGGTTGTCTTTACGCAGTTGCCCCCCCCCCCAGGTTTCCATTGGCACTGAGAGAACTTTGTCAAAGTTCACTTGTATGTGCATAAACGCTCTAAAGACCTTCTGATTTACTTCATCTGTATACCACTTTTCCTGTCACCCCAACAAGCCCACATAGATCAGATGCATTTATTATATCCCACTTTTTCTCCCCAGTGTTGGGACTCAGAGTGGCTTAGAACATTGTTCTTTCCCCCTTCATTTTCTCACAACAACCATCTTGTGAGGTAGGCCATGCTGAGAGTTGGCAGAGGGTTCAGGGTCACTCCGCAAGCTTCCTTGGTAGAAGTGGGGGGTTCAGACCCAGTGTTCCAGAATCCTGCTCCCCCACTCTGTCCAGTATGCCGTGCTGGCTCTAGTAGATCAGAGGTGGAGTGTGCAGCCACAATTTGCTTCCACCTCTGTGTGCGTTCACGGTATGAATTTTGAATGAGTGAAAAAGTTGTAAACTAACAGTAATTACAAACCTGTGGAAATCTGTAGCAAGCTTCTGATGTAGGGTGGGACAATTTGGAGCAAAGACGTTGTGAGGGGAAGTGCTTTCTCCGAACTGCTACTATGTGGCTCCGAATTCCTCCTCCACAGTAGTGTTTCAAACATGTATTTGCAAGGGGTGAGACCTCAAGTTCTCCAGTTTACCACATTTAAAAAAAAAATTACCTGCAAATAAATAGGGATAAGGATGTTTGCAGATATTTGGCTGCAAAACAGAGGGACTGTACTTCCAGTTCCCATATCAGGGCAGCTTAATTTTGTTTCTTCACAAAGATTGGCTGAAGACATTCTTTGGAGAGTCAGCATAATTACTTGGTATGTAATCAAGAGGATTGTGATCCTACCATTACAGGAGTGGTTGTACTCAGAATCTAAATATATGCTCACAAGCTTATTTGTATAGTCCCTAAGTAAGAAGCGGGCAGTTCATTGACTGAACACCAGAGCTTAAATTTGCTTGGGAAAAAAGCCTGATCACAGTAAAAACAGTAGAAATGTTTTCACTTATTTAGTTGTAGGTAGGCATGCCTGCACTAGTTCAAATTGTTTGATCTTTTAAAAACTCCTTAGTATGTGGGTCATCTTACGTTGCCTGCTAAGGAAACAGGAGCATAACTCAGCTTGGTTTCAGAATCGTTATTCAATTATTCTCCATTCTCCCTTTTTTTTTAGGCTGAAACATCTTCCCCTGGTCAAACACTAGCTTGTATTCTTGGACATCATACAACTTTTGGTCAAAACAGATCTCCTCTATGACGGCAGATCAGCAATTTAAAGCATATTTTAATGTCCTGTAAATATTGTATTTATGTTGAATTTGATAGCATAAAAACATGCTACTTTTGTGACACTTCCTAGTTAAAAACCAGATGAAATGTTGGGGGAAAATTCAATTTTTCATCTGACTTTAAAATATTCTAATGTTAAAAGAATCATGCAGGGTATGCATTTTAATGAAGATGAGCATGGGTAAATTTTAATAAATGGAACTTACCACTCTTATGTGTAATGCCTTAAAGTTATTTCCAGGAAATCATTTTATTTATATAAAATATTTATATCCTGCCTTTTGGGTGGTGGTGGGGATATACCGCCAAGCCATATAATTAAAAAAATCTAAAACATGCCAAACAAATAAAACATGTTTGGGAAAGCAAAGTAGTTTATTCAAGTAATTTTAGTTCAGCAGTATTTTTTTACAATGAATACTGAAGCTCAGAAAAATAATTATTCTCAACAAGTTAAATTATTATTCATGTCTGACTAGCTTTCTCTGGACTGGGGCCTTACAGTGCCATCCTAAACACATTTATGCCCATCCAATGGTCTTAGAAAGGTATAACTTTGCCTAGAGTGGCACTTGTTAGTGTTTCAGTCAAGATTTTCATGTCTGTTGCATGTAGTATGTTAAAAGGCAGAGAAAAAATGAATTGCATTTTATAGCAAATATTCTTCATTGGAAGAAAGATTGATCATGTGTGTTAGAGCACATTATCCATCTGTAGGCCATTGGGCTTGCTGCTTGGTCCAACAATGACATTGCTTATATTGCCTTATTTTGTAGAGGAAAAGTGCCCGTGGTTTTCTTTTAATAAAGCCAATCTATACTTGAAAGGTTTCCAGAGTGGTCTAACTGATACATTGCTTGTAGTGGACCTCATGAGTAGGAAGATGGGATGGGGAAAAGTGGCTACAAGAGAGTGGATTGGTATAAAGTATCATAGAAAGGTTGGACTATAAGGAAGGCCAAGCACCAAATAATAGGTTCTTTTGAATTATGGTGCTGGAGAAGACTCTTGAGAGTCCCCTGGACTGCAAGGAGATCAAATCAGTCAATCCTAAAAGAAATCAACCCTAACTGTTCCCTGGAAGGCCAGATACTGAAGCTCAAATACTTTGGCCACCAAATGAGAAGGGAGCACTCACTGGAGAAGACCCTGATGCTGGGAAAGACTGAAAGTCAAAGAAGAAGGGGACGGCAAAGGATGAGATGGTTAGTCAGCGTTATCGATGCAATTAACATGAAGTTAAGCAAACTGGAGCGAAAGACAGGAGGGCCTGGCGTGATGTCCATGGGGTCGCGAAGAGTAAGGCTCAACTGCGACTGAACAACAAAAATCATAGAAAGGTCTGTGAGTGGACCATCCTACAGGGCAAACGGGGAGATTCTAGCAACCTTTAGTTTAAAAGGATTAAAAGACAAAAGCAGTATATCGTATAAAAGAGACTGGAGTGGTGGTTTGGAGGAGAACCTGCACTCTAGCCTACCAACAGCTTTGAGTTCCATGGTGTTCCTGACTATCCATTGGGGGAGGAGAAATGATGGCATGGGAGGAGAGTAGGGCTGCCAGATCCAGGTTGGGAAACTCCTGGAGATTTGGGGGTAGAGCCTGGGGAGGACAGGGACTTCAGTGAGGTACAATGCCACAGAGTCCTCTCTCCAAAGTATATGATCCTTGATCTACTCCAGTCCAGCTTCCGCCCGGGATATGGGACGGAGACGGTGCTGGTTGCCCTTACTGACGACCTCCGGAGGCATCTGGATCGAGGCGGTGTGGCGGCACTGTTGTTAGATCTGTCGGCCGCGTTTGACACGGTCGACCACCAGTTGCTGACCCACCGTCTCGCTGACGTGGGGATACAGGGGCTCGCTCTTCAATGGCTTGCCTCTTTTCTCCAAGGTCGGCGACAGAGGGTGGCGATAGGGGAACAGCAGTCCCGGAGGCACCCACTTGAGTGTGGTGTGCCTTAGGTGACGGTGCTTTCCCCGATGTTGTTTAACGTCTACATGCGCCCCCTCGCCCAGATTGCCAGGAGTTATGGTCTGGGTTGTCATCAATATGCAGATGACACCCAGCTCTATCTGATGTTGGGTGGCCAGTTGGGCTCCGACCCAGAAGATCTGAACCGGGCGTTACAGGCCGTGGCTGGGTGGCTCAGGCTGAGCCAGCTGAAACTAAACCCAGCGAAGACGGAGGTCCTGTGCCTGAGTTGACGCGGTTTGGGGATCCCTCTCCCGACCTTCGATGGGGCGCTGTTGGTGCCAGCGTCGGAGGTTAGGAGTTTGGGAGTGCTCCTGGATCCCTCCTTAATGATGGAGGCCCAGGTGGCAGCCACTGCCAAATCTGCATTTTACTATCTTAGGCAGGCTCGGCAGTTGGTTCCCTTCCTCGACCGCGGTGACCTGGCTACAGTGATCCATGTGACGGTCACCTCAAGGCTGGACTACTGTAACGCTGTCTACATGGGGCTGCCTTTGTCGCAGATCCGGAAGCTGTAGCTAGTGCAGAATGCGGCGGCCAGGCTGTTGCTGGGTCTCCCCAAGTGGGAGCACATCCAGCCTGGGCTGAAAGCACTGCACTGGCTGCCAATAGCGTACCGAATCCGCTTCAAACTGCTGGTTCTTACCTTTAAAGCCCTATATGGCCAGGGTCTGACCTACCTGAGGGACCGCCTTTCCCCACATATACCCCCAAGAGCACTTCAGTCAGGGACACAACACCACCTGGTGATTCCAGGCCCCCGGGGAGGCAAAGCTTGCTTCAACCAGGGCCAGATCCTTCTCAGTGGCAGCCCCCACCTGGTGGAACAAGCTTCCGGAGGAGATCAGGGCCCTGCGGGACCTTATGCAGTTCTGCAGGGCCTGCAAGACGGAGCTCTTCCGCCAAGCTTTTATATAGGGGCCGCCACCTCTATTACTACCATCACTGGAACAATGGGGTTGGGAGTGGTCCCCGGAAGAACTGCCATAATTCTGAATGGCACTGATGCTGCTGGACTGGCTTGGACCATCGACAGGACAATTTCACCATAATGAAATGATCGATACCATCTTCAGAGACCATCTTGTTGTATGGAGCACTTTATTTGTTTTTGTTGTGACTTAATAGTTTTTACTGTTTTATAGTATTTTTATGTATGGGCTTGTGCCCCGGTGTAAGCCGCCCTGAGCCCGTTCGCGGGGAGGGCGGGGTAAAAATGCAATAAATAAATGCAATAAATATAAAATAAATACATGTTTTCTCAATGGGAACTGACCTCTGTAGTCTGCAGATGATCTGTAATTCCAGGGGATCCCCATGCCTCACCTGGAGTCTGGCATCCTTAGGGGAGAGGTAGGAAAGTTGGGGGTTACATCTGCTTGTGCTATGTAGGATCCATCTTGCAGCCTCCTGTTCAATTGGGAGACTGTTTTGACACCTTTCCTTCTGCCATATGTCTCACCCCCCCACACAGCTGCTCTGTTAAGTCTTGGGGTGGCCTTAGTTTTGGGATGCTCAGCCTCAGAATCTTCCCTCTGCTAGTGTTTGCCATTTGGGCCCAGAACATTAGGTTGCCAACTCTGTGCTGGTAACCACATGGAGATTTTTGGGATGTTGCCTGGGGAGGGCAGGGTTTAAGGAAGGGAGGAACCTCAGCAGGGCATAATCCCATACAATCCATCCTCCACAGCTGTTATTTCCCCCAGGGAAACTGATATCTTGTAGTCTGGAGAGGAGTTGTCATTCTGGGAGGTCTCCAGGCCCCAACTGGAGGTTGGCAACCAAAGCCCAGCAGGATAAAAACGGTGCCATCCTAAGCAGAGGTATACCCTTTCAAGTTCATAGAAATCTGGTGGGCTTAGAAGTGTGTAACTGTTTAGGATAAAGTTTGAGTCCAGTGGAGCTGCGGTGGCTCAAGTGGTTAAGACGCTGAACTGCAGGCTGTGGAAGGGCGATAGTTCAGCAGTTCGAGGCCTGGGTACCGCGTGATGGAGTGAGCTCCTCGTTCGAAAGCAAGAAATTGCAAGTAGATAAATAGGTACCACTTCGGTGGGAAGGTAACCGCGTTCCGTGTGCCCTAGTGTTTAGTCATGCCGGGCACATGACCACAGAAATGTCTTCGGACAGCGCTGGCTCTTCAGCTTTGAAACGGAGATGAGCACCGCAACCCTAGAGTCGGATTGGACTGGCTTTCGAGCAAGGGAGACCTTGACCTTGAGTCCAGTGGTACTTTTAAGACGAACAAAGTTTAAGTCCGGGTGTGAGCTTTCGTGTGCAACCACACTTCTTCAGATAGTAAAGAAGAAGTATGCGTGGACAGAAAAGTTTATACCCAGAATTAAACTTCCTTCTGTTGCTTCAGACCCGCCCGGCTTCCCCCCCCCCCCCGCATCTTTGTTTAGGATGGCAAAAGTTCTCAGAATCCTGCCTTGGGATATGGGGAGGAGGGGTGACGACCAGTGTTCCCTCTAAACTGAGTTAGTGTGAGCTAGCTCACAGTTTTTTAGCCTCCAGCTCACACATTTTTGTCTTGGCTCAGGAAGGATGGCTCCAGAGCAAACTGATTTATGCAGTAGCCCAATCGCTCACTCACAACTTTAATGCCAGCAGCTCACAAAGTAGAATTTTTGCTCACAAGACTGCACGGCTTAGAGGGAACATTGGTGACGACGCAATTCACCTGAGGAGGCCAAAAGTGGGGAAAGGCGCGAAGCAGGCCGGGGGGGGGGGGGTAATTTCTGTCAGGGCTGATGAGCCAGATGAACTGGTTGGCCTCTGTGTGAGACAGGATGCTGGACTAGATAGACCACTGGTCTTATCCAGCAGAGCTCTTCTTATGTTCTTAGATATCTGGGAGACAACTTTGTTGTTTTGGAGAACAACAGATGCAGATAGGGAGGAGAACATTCTGGAATACATACATCTAAACAGATATGGGAGGTCTAGATGATTCCTCTTAACATATGAAGAAGGTGCTTAGCGGGAGTTGGCTGAGGAGGGAAGGAATGTGCCTGAAGAGAACTTTGTGGGTGTGTTTTATCTTAGGGGAGCAAGAGATGAAATGGGATGGGGGGGGGAGTTGGTCAGTTAGAATTTAAGAATGCACGTGGGACCTACACGATCATTTCCTTAAAAAATATCTAATGGCTACCTGATTATATGTTCCTACCACTTTTTGCATAGGACCCCAATGTCACAACCACTAGATCCAAAATGCATTTTCCCAGTCACTTCAACATGAGCAGGACTGGACCAAAAATGTGAAGCAAAGCCCTATTTCTTCTGGGCCAAAATGCTAGAAAAGAAATCACGAGATCTGGAGGCTGCAATACATAATGCAAATCAAAGATGTAGGCACCCTATCTGCATGCTTTATTCTGATTTATTTTGCTCCCTCTAAGCTGTGGAGTCTTGTGAGCAAAGATTCTACTTTGTGAACCACTGACATTAAAGTTGTGAGTGAGTTTGGCTACTGCTGCATAAATTAGCTTGCTGTGGAGCCATCCTTCCTGAGCTAAGACAAAAATGTGTGAGCCGGAGGCTAAAAAACTGAGCTGGCTCACACTAGCTCAGCTTAGAGGGAACACTGATTTGGAGCAGGCTCCAGACCAGAGCTCGGTCGGGAAATGGCATGGATTTCTACTGTTCGTGCTTAAGTGTGTGAGAAAGTGAAACTTGGGGGGTCAAGTTACACCCAAACGGTGTGTTTTGTGTGGATTGAGGAAAATGTGCATGATTCAAGGGTGATAACGCCAAGGGATGAATACACTGGGGTGCTTTTAGTGATCACAGAATCCTCACCTTACATGGCCAAAGGTGAAGTTTGTTGCAAGAGAACCAGATACTGGAGAGTATAAGGCTTTGTCAACATACGGTTGGCTGTTACACTATTGCTGTACTGTAGCCCGGTTTTACCAGGTATTTTTATAGATTGTAATACTGGGTCTGGATTTGATAGATAGAGTGCCTGAAGAACTATGGACGGAGGTTCGTGACATTGTACAGGAGGCAGCAATCACCACCATACCAAAGAAAAAGAAATGCAAGAAAGCAAAATGGCTTTCTGATGAGGCTTTACAAATAGCAGAGGAAAGAAGGAAAGCGAAAGGCAAAGGCGAAAAGGAAAGATTTACCCAACTGAACGCAGATTTCCAGAGAACAGCAAGGAGAGATAAGGAGGCCTTCCTGAATGAACAGTGCAAAGTAATAGAAGAAAATTTGAAACGGAGATGAGCACCACAACCCTAGAGTCGGACTCGACTGGCATTCGAGCAAGGGAACCTTTACCTTTAATACTGGATAACCCAATTGTTGTATTTGTAAAAACATATTCTGTATGTATATAGGTATAATTCTCTTATTTGCTTATGACCAACTGGTCTGCAAGCATTAATAAATGATGATGATAGCCCAGTGGCTATATAATGTTGTTCTCCATTTTATCCTTAGGACATCCTTGTGAGGTAGGTTAGGTTGCGAGAGAATGACTGGTCCAAGGTCACCCAGCAAGCTTCCATGGCAGGGTGAGGCTTTGAAGCTGGGTTTCCCAGATCCTAGTCCAGTGGTGGCGAACCTATGGCATGGGTGCCAGAGATGGCACTCAGAGCCCCCTCTGTGGGCACGTGTGCCATCGCCCCAGCCAGGCCCAGACCATCATTAAAGTGTCGAATTCTCTGCCAAATAATTTTAAGTAAATGAAAGCATTTGGGATTGCTTTCCTTACTTTGTTTGGGTCATCTTAAATTAATGTATGAGTTGTTTTTTTCTAAAGTAAAACCTCAGTATTCAGGTTAAATTGCCGGCACTTTGCGATAAATAAGTGGGTTTGGGGTCGCAGTTTGGGCACTGGGTCTCTAAAAGGTTCGCCATCACTGTCCTAGTCTAAACACTGTATCACAATGTTTCTCAGCCTGCTTTGGGAACCTAACCTTAATCTGGAAGGGGTTGGTTAGCTTTTGACGTATTTCAGTCAAGTTGAGATGTGTGTGGCTTTAAAGCAGGTGATGTGAAAGACTTTCACCTGAAACCTTGGAGAGCTGCTGCTGGTCTGTGTAGACAATACTGACTTTGATGGACCAACAGACTGATTCAGAATACGGAAGCTTCATGTGTTCAAAGTAACATGAACAACTTTTTGGTTCTACTTTGTTAGCTTCCAATATGGCTTCCAACAGCTGATAGCTAACCCTCTGAATAAGAAATAATTTCCTCCAAAAAACTGCCCTAACAAGTAATCTAGGGCCCCGGTCACACGGGCCGGATATCGCGGGCGGGGGGGGGGAGGCATGGCTAATTGCCCCAGCGCAGTTTGATCCGCGATTATGCGATCAGACGCGCCGGTGGCACACCACGGGTCCTTCCCTCAGCACCGGCGGGTAAACGAGGGACCTGAGGGGAATGCTGCGTGCCGGCACGATCACACCACGGGCGTCTGGAGGCAGCCCGTGGCAAACGTTTACTAGTACCTTGGAGGTACTAGTTTTTTAATGCGCATTGTCGGCGGTAAGCCACAGGTGCGCTCCACTTCCCAGATGTTGGGGTGTGATCGCGCCCGGATAATCCGCCCAGCATCTGTGCCTCTCCCATGGCAACTTTGTCGTGTGACCGGGGCCTAGATGTAGAGAACTCTTTGGGGTAAAACGTCTCCCTAATAAGGTAGCATTTTATGCAAACAGAGTTTGGATGCAAATGTTTTGGGGAAGCAGACAGAGTAGCAATTTAAAGCAGACACCATTCATCCAGGTTTCACGTGAGAATGTGTGTGAGAGAGAACAGGCATGAATACTATGTAAGAGAACAGAAGTTATTTCTAATTAAATTATTGCAACTTTCCCTTTTAGACTCTTGTATCTAAAAATAAAGCAGGGCAGAATAAGAATGCTTTGGTCTGTTTATTTCTAGATTCGTTGTAAGATTTTAAAAGGACATTCAGATGCTGTGACCTCCTGTCATTTCTGTTTCGATGATGCAAACATTATTTCAAGCTCTTGCGATGGTACAGTGAAACTCTGGGTAAGCCAGCACAAACCTGAAGCAACGGATCACACTGTTTTAAAACTCTCAGCCATAATGATAAGATCTAAACAAAGACTGAGTGAGTCATTAGTGAAGGTCCAAAACAGATTATTTAAAAATGTGTCTAAAGTCTTTGAAACTATGGCACATACTTAATTAAAATGGCAGCTTTTCCTGCTTCTTAACAGTTGGTTTGCTGATCTCACTTGCACGAGATTTGATGATGGGCCATTGTACATAATGTATTACAAAGCAGACTAGACACGTTTTTGACAGATAGTATTAATGGTTATCCTTGGGAAATGTGCAGTTCTGTTTTACTGATGTTCTTGAATGCAAGGTACTGGAAAACAGGAATAGATGGTAGGGAATAAAGAACAACCTATGTTATGTGTGGTTGCATTTTCCCTTAAGTATCCTGAATTGGCCTCTTTTGGAGAGAAAACAGTGAGTTAAATGGACCACTAGTTTTTGCAAGTATTATGCTGCTGCTGTTTTTGTTGTACATGAGTCTGCAAGGGTTATATGCCAATGAAGGTAATTGGATTGGACCACTAGTCTGATCGATTGTGCCATTCAACCCCCCAAATTCTGTACTCCGTTTATTTGGGGGGGGGAGGTATGTTTTTGTGTGTGAGTGTGTGTGTGCATTTGAAAGTCATGGTGACTTTTGATGACTGATCCCTATTGGGAGCCTGGAGGATATTCAGAGAGGTGGCTGAATAACGCTGCCCCCCCCCCCCCCCCCCCCCCCGTTTTAACAAACCACACCCCCCAACCTTGCCAGAGTCAACCCTGCTTAGCTTCCAAGATCGGGCTTGCCTGGGCTCTCCAGGTCAGGACTCTACTCTGTTTATAAACTGAGCTGTTAGAATTATTCTAATGAAATATTTGTGTTACTAATTAGTATTTTACAGTGATTATTGTTTTATTATCTTAACATGCTGGATTGTAATTAAGACTCTCTATATTTACTGAAGGATATCGCTCAGAGGGTCCCTATTCAGACCTTTAAAGAAGAACATGTGGGACCCATTTCAGAATGCTGCCTGAGTCCGGATAACAAAAGGTGAATTAATAATGTAGCAGTTCTGATTATGCGTTGGACTGAATTGCACCTTTTTTACCAGATCTGAGAAAAAATGTTTATAAAATTTAGCAATCCCAAGCAAGTTTCCTTGGAAATAAATCCAATATTAAGAGGGTCTTACTCCCAGGAAGGTGTCTTGAAGGACTGCAGCCTTAGCAAATAAAATGTAATCCTGCCCAGCAAAGTATATAGTGTTTCATTCATTAGGCCTACAATTTTATGAAAACATTCAGCCATTTTTTTCCACTGGGAAGTAATCTGTGTGTGGTGTATGGCACGTTCCCTTATCAACATGCATTATGAAATCAAGATGATCGAGGCTTGCCGAACCCATGGTGAGACTGAGCCATGTTTAGAGTAGATGAAGGCTGGAACAAGTTGGAAGGATACATGGAGAGGAAGGCAAAGCTACAAAGGAAAATAAGAATAATTCCAGAACTTTGTACAGGCGAACTTGGGGCAGGTAGGAAAGAAATAGACTTCACCTCCAGATGTGTCCCAGCATGAAATTTTTACATGTACTCCCCACTTCATATTAGTAGGGTAATAAAGCCCCTCCAGCAATTTACCTTATTGCAGCTTTTATGCAAGCGTATGAACTTTGTGTCTGCACAGCAATATCTTAGTTTGGTCCTCCATCCAGAAATCTAAAGAGAGAAAAGGAAACAAGGAAAAGGAAGCAAACCAGAATTACAGGAATCAGTGCCTGAGCAAAGAAGCTACATGGCCAGGATTTTCAGGATCTGGCATGACTCTAGTTGCCTTGTAATAGCTGGACTTGGGTGCATTGACAGGCTGGATCATGTCCTTTGTGGGAAGCTAATTTTCCTTTGCTTTTAGAACATAAAAGAAGCCATGTTGTATCAGGCCAATGGCTCATCCAGTCCAACACTGTCACACAGTGGCCAAAACCCAGGTGCCATCAGGAGGTCCACCAGCAGAGCCAGAACTCCAGAAGCCCTCCCCCTGTTGCCCCCCCCCAAGCACCAAGAATACAGAGTATCACTGCCCCAGACACAGTGTTCCATTCTGTACATTGTGGCTAATAGTCAGTGATGGACCTCTGCTCCATATGCTTCCCCAATCCACTTTTGAAGCCATTTGTGCTTGTAGCTGCCACCACTTCTTACAGCAGTGAATCCCACTTGTTATTTACTCTTTGGGTGAAGAAGTACTTTGCATGTATTTGCCTTGCTGCTGAAAAAAACTGGTATCTGTGGAGCTGCTGGCAAATTTTGGTAGACAGCCAGGAGAGGGTTAAGTTTAGTTTCTGCAAAGCACTCTTTAAACTGCTTTTATTGAAAAAAATATATCAGCGCACATACATGATTACAGCAATTTTGCATTATGACATATTAATTGAAATATAAGAGACTTTAGCAAGCTAATCTATCTATAAATATGAGGCATGCAAAAATTTGTAGTTGTAAAAGTGCCTTTTTGGTTGTCAGAAGATTGGTGTTTGAAATTTCTTCTCTCCTGATGTTTATTATTGCAGTTGATTTTTATGAAAAATGTGTATACAGTGATAGGCATGTTATTATACTAGTTTGGTTTTTTAAAAAGGTAATTTTGATACACAGGCTCTGGGAAATTCAGGAAGAAATGCTATTTTGATCTTAAAGATAAACTGTTATTACAGTAGATATAAGCACCACTTACAGAGAAATTTACTAGGTTTTGGTCAATGTTATTGAATGGTTTTACTGTATAATGTGTCTTTGTGGTTTTCTACTGTTGTGTCAATGACAGAAGGGCTACCAAACAACATTAGGTGCTGCAAAATACACAAAAAAAACCCTAGTCTTCATATTTGTAACTGCATACATACTTTAAAGAACCATCCTAAGCAGATCTCTACTCAGAATCCAACTCAAGTCTGTCCAGTGCAGCTTTCTCCTAGGAAAATGTTCTTCAGATGGCACTGGTGCCCTGGCCTGGATATCCCAGACAAGCCTGATCTTGTCAGGTCCCGGAAGCTAAGCAGGATCGACTCTGGCAAGTACTTGGATGGAGACCTCCTTGGAATACCAGCAATTGGGAGGTGGGGACAGACTCTATTCAGCCACCTCTCTGAATATCCTCCAGGCCCCCAGTAGGGGTCAGTCACCAGAAGTCGCCATGACTTCCAGGTGCACGCGCACACACACATGCACATATGAAAAATACAAAAAAATACACACACACACACCCCAAAAAAGATGTTACTGATAATGACTGTGAGCCAGCCCCGTAGCCAGAAATTTTGAGTTGCTGGGTCATGGAGAAATTTTGTGGGGCAACAGGGGAGGGGGGAGGGAGAGTCGTGGCTGTACGCTTTCCCTGAACTCCAAGTGGCGATTTCAGAGGTAGATTTGGGGGGGATCGCAGTTCCCCCGGGTGAGGTGCAGGGGGCGGGGCACATGACGAAGCCCAGCCCCCTTCTTCCGGCCACCCCCTGCTTCCAGCCTCATTCTGTTGCAGAAGGAGGAAGAAGCAGGAGGGTAAGTTGGCGTCCTCCCCCTCTGCCTGGCCGAGGCCACTCTAAGTGGCCTCCGCAAGGACTCCCAGCCCCATCCAGGAGCTTCCCCGAAGTAGCTGTGTTAGTCTGTTGCTGCAAAATAGTCCAAGAGTTCAAATAGCACCTTTAAGACTAACAAATAGCACCTTTAAGACTAACCTTTAAGACTAAGACTGAGTGGTGGGTGTGGCCTTATGACACACTTCTGGTGATGGCAGGGGGTGTGGCCTTATGACACACTTCCGGTGATGTCAGGGGGTGTGGCATATGCTAATGAGTTATGCTAATGAGTTTCCCTAGCTCTTTTTCTACGAAACAACCCCTGGGCGGTTTTACTGCTTGGAGTTCAGGCTGTGGGCAGCCCCCACTTGGGGGAAAAAGCATTTAAAGGGTTCCCTTTAAATGGTATTTTTCAAGTGGGGGCTGCCCACGCCTGAACTCTAAATGTTGAAATTACTTCTTGGAGTTCAGGGAAGGTGTGTGGCTGCCCCTTCTTGCAAGATTTAAAGGGCCCGCCAGTTCATCAGCATATGCTCCTGCTGATTAGCTGGAGGGCCCTTGTAATGTTGGGGGAGGGGGCCAGCAGCTGTTGTGAGGCATGCATCATATTTGAGGGGGCAGAGCCCCGAAATGCCCCACCGTAGCTATGGGCCTGCTCTGAGCCCATTTTCAAGTCAGGAAAACAATGAGCTATTAAAACCTTCCCCCTGTGTACACTCTGAAATAGCAAAGCCCTGGATGCCAACCCTCCACCCTGATGAAGAACCCACTGCCCCCCTCCCTCCAGTCAGGGTTGTCAACAACTTGGAGAAAAAATGTCCTGTCCCTTTAACAGAGGCTTTATTGTCTGGAAATGGGAAGCTGAAACTTTTACATGGTATGGAGGTAAATAACATCAACTGGTATAGAACAACCTAGTGAAGGGACAGGACTCCCCCCCCCCCCCGGCTGTTGGTAACCTCACTTCTGGCGCCTGTGCCCCATTGTGAAGACAGCTAAAGTGAGTGACAAGGTGAGGTTCCCTGTCTGCTAATCATCAGAAGACCAAAAACTCAAGTGAGACCGTCACAGCATCTGTTAAGCAAGCTCAGTTATGGACTGAATTTTGCAAGCAGCGTCTCTTGTTCTCACAGGGTGCCTGTAGCTGTTATCACAACTTAGCACACAGCTGGGTAACAGTGGCAGCTTTTCACCTCATTCCTTGCCCATGCTGGGGGCTGCTACACCTGTTCCATAGCTGCCTGCCATGTACCCTGGAAAGGCACAGAAGCTCAGGCAAGATAAAGGTAGCAGAACTCACAAAAAGCACAACTGCCTTCTTCCTTATTGCTCGCAGTCTGTATAGCATGGGTTTTGGGGAAGGAAAGTGGCCTGTGTCCAGCTACGCAGTTAAAAGGGCACTTAAGTCTCCTGAAGTGTTTGTGTGTAAAGTGCCGTCAAGTTGCAACCAACTTAAGGCAACGCCACCGGGTTTTCAAAACAAGTGTTTAACAAAGGCTATTTGCCATTGCCTGCCTCTGCATAGCAACCCTGGTCTTCTGTAATGGTCTCCCATCCAAGGCCTAACTCAGGCCCACCCTGCTTAGCTTCCAAGGACTGATGAGAACTGTGGCAATTGCTGGCACTTTCATGCTCCCACTGCTCCCCCCCCAAAAAAAACACAAGAGAATGTGAAGCACATGTATCAAGAAATGATTTTGCTCTTTTGTGTGTCGTTTTTAGGTTGATAACAGCTTCGTATGATAAGACGCTGAAGGCCTGGGATACAGAAACCGGGAAAGTGCTTGTAGGTATCGATTTCTCAATGAGTCTGTTTGCTTAACTACAAACGAAGCTTTAGTTCCCTTTAGGGTGGAACTAAAAGTTTACCTTAGAAAAAAATGTACCTGAGATCCCGTTGTGGGGGGGAGTAGTCCTCGAAGAGGAAGAGGCTCAGTTGCAGGCTGTAAGCATGTGTCCACTTTACCGTTTATTTATTTTAAAAAAACATTTATTAGGTGCCTTTCTACCTTGCGGAACTCATAGCGGGATACAATGTAAATAAAACGATTGTTAAAAAAACACGTGATAGACCACAATTTAAAATCTCAATTAGGAGTGCCAACAAATAAAAACTAGATTAATCAAATGCAGTCCTAAATAAAACTGTCTTCCACTGCCTACCATGGGGACATACAAAACTGCCTTATACCATCAGCCTGTTTGTCTGCCTAGCAGCAGCTCTCCCACCTCTCAGTCAGAGAAAAATCTTCCTTGCTGTTTGCTGCCTGAGATCCTTTAACTGGAGATGCCCAGGAGTGAACCCGGGAACTGTATTCAAAGCCTATCTACTGATAGCAGGAGCTCCTTTGCATATTAGGCCACACACCCCTAGTGTAGCCAATCCTCCAAGAGCTTACAGTAGCCCCAGTAAGAAGAGCTCTGTAAGCTCTTGGAGGATTGGCTACACTAGGTGTGTGTGGCCTAATATGCAAAGGAGCTCCTGCTACCAGTAGAGCCCTGTAAACCTGCTGAGCCATAACCCCTTGAATTCCAGGGCCCAACCCCATGTTGTAAGACCATTGAAATGATACAGTGTAGGTTATTTTTTCTCCCTGTTGTGATTCATTGTGTGTACGGAGTAGGATTGTGCAGGAGGAGGGGCATATTACAAGTTAGTACAGAGCCCAGAGAATTGGTGCTTGGCCTCTGCCCGAGTGGTGATTGGAATAAGAAAGTGGTACGCGTGGAAAGGTCAGACTTCCCTCCTGCCCTATTGTTTCTCTGCTCCAAAGCAGTTGCTCTGAAGACTTTAATTAAATTTCTAAAGTTTTTGTCCCTGCTGTAAAAAGAAATGCAATAAACAGCAGTGTTTTATGAAAGGTGGAAATGCGTTCTGTCTGATGCTTTTAATATTTGATTCCAGCTCCAACCAGAATTAACCTTGGGCCAGTGACTTCAGGTCCCTTATTGAACAGAATGGGTAAAAAAATCACGTGCATCTCGTATAATACCTTAGAACATCCCTAGGCATAAATAACTTGATGTTTAAAGAGGACCGTAAAGTACAAACACAAAAATTTGTACAAAAGGCACAATCCATCATGCCCTGTGCACCCAGGAAAGCTCTGCTCATGCGCAGCATGAAGGGGGGTGAATGAGGAAGGGAGCCAGCCAGAGAGAACTGCGTCCACAGGAGTGGCATAAGGAAGATGCAGACAGATAGGGCCCTAAAAATTTTAAAATCTCACAGACGTTGCTGTTTTGCAGACAGAGACGTTTAGAAGTTCTGTTCTGCAGTTTTAATGTTGTTGTCTTCCTCTGTGTCTGCATAAAAGCGAAATTATTCTTTAAAATGGATTTATCATCCGTCTGCCTAACGGCTACCTGATGAATCAGTTATTCTTGGAACTCTGGAGGTGAAGAAAGAAATGGCTATGAGGCCAAGTTCAGTGTTGAAAGACTTCAGACTTGACTGTCTGTTTCCTGAACCACAACGTTTGAGAACTGAAAAAGCCATTAGATTATAGATGGGCTTTACCCAGAGAAATGGATGGAGGCTTGGGGTTCTTTAAGCCTTTTAGAGACAATAAAATGAAAAATAAACAGGAATCGAGAATACACCTAGAGTATGGAAGCAGTCCAAAGCAGATCCGCTCAGAATCCTACTCAAGTCTGTTAAGTTAGGCTTACTCCCAGGAAAGTGTTCTTAGGATTGCATTGTTTGGCATTTATTTACTACTCCTTTCGGTTGGATTTCACAGAAACCCTTGTATCGTAAAGGATGAAAAAAGAGCAATGTGAAGGTTTCTGTCTTGCAAGAATACTGTGAATTCTTTGGTCCAGATGGGACAAGATGCAGAAGATACATAACAGTTGATAGACTATTGTAGATATTTAGAGTTTTAGTAATTTTGTAACTAACATATGCAGATCAAATGCAGTTTTATATTTAAATATTTTATATATATTATTGGTACCCTTTTGTATTGTTTGTAATTGGGCTGGTAATATACCGAATAAACTGAAACTACAGCTGGCCTACAGCTGGCCTGCTGGAGAGTAGTGACAGAAGTGGAATGCAGAAGATACTGGAGCTGTGTTTTTCCTTATGAAGGGAAAAGAAGATGAGAGATAATTTTTATTTGAAGAACAGCACATGGAGAAAGGGGGTTGTGCACACACACACCCTCCTGCCATTGCTCCAGTCAAATTTGTAACACCCACCCACATATGCATTTCAGATTTTTTAAAAATCAGCTCATATGCCTCTTACAACTCATCTTTTTTAGTCCTTAATGGAATTGGAGATAACAGAATTCTTTGCTTAGTTATTATGATTCTGTTTCACATGTATGTCTAATACCTTCAGCCCAACTAAAGCTAGTCATGGCTAAGTCCCACTGAAATAAGTTAACTCATGATTAAGCCTTCAGTGAGTTTTAGCAATCACTGACTTTGGCTGGAGCAGAACCAATGTGTGTCTATGGGATTGGACCTTTGCTGATCATTAACCCTTAAAGCTTACTCTGTACGTTGGTCTCAAGACCGCAATAATAAACTAAACTAAACCCTTAAAGCATGATTTCAACCGCTTTTGTGGTCTTTTGCAGTGGTCTGTTGAGCAGGATGGTCTTCTAACATCATGTGATGTTTCTCATGATGGTAAATACGTTGTCTCTGGTTCTGATATCGAAAACGCTATATGCCTTGTTGATGCGGCGAATGCTAAACCGGTGGCGTACATCAGAGGTAACTTGGGTTGATATCCTTTTCTTTATACTTGGGGAAGGACTCTCAAAGACACATCTTGCTCTCAGTTTGGAGGGATTTGGGGCAGGAATGTTATGCTGTGCCCCTGTCTTGCTTGCATACCGATGGAGATATGCAGCCACCCCAATTCTTACCCTTCGTCAGCCTGCTTTTAGTAAAGGCCTGAACTGTGGCTCGGGAGCTGAAAAAGAACTCTGTTCACTTTCCTCTGGAGAGATGGGACAGCATGGCAAAAGCTGTGTTTGGGAGCAAAGAGACAGCAGACAACGGTCTTTGTGACGTGAGAAAATGACTTGAGGACCAAGGCTGTGTAAAGCGGTAGTGCCAGGAACTCAGGACAAGTCCCACACTATGGTATTCAGGAGGATATGACCTTGGGCCAGTCACTGTCACTCAGCCTAACCTACTTTACAGGGTTGTCGTGAGGAAAGAGTGGAGGTAGTAATGTATGCCCTTTGGAGGACGGGTGGGATAAAAGTGTGCTAAATGAAAGAAGTGTCCCAGTCACATCCTTATCTGAAACTGATCAAACTAGAACAGAGGTTTTGAAACCTTTGTGGACTTGTCATTAGTTCATGGCTATAGCCGATAGGACAGTTCAAGGGGGGCGGGGAAACCGCTGCCTTGAAAGTTATTAAGCTGAGGGCCTCAGATCATTGGAGCTCCATGTTTGCTTTGTTGTCTGCTATCGCCAAGTAGTTCAGTGACACTTCAGTGCAGGAGTCTGCCTCCCAAGAGCCTATTCAGTACCTCCTGGACCTGGGTAGAAGCGAAAGCTCCTGGGAAATGCATCAGTTACGAATTTAATCTGTATCTTCTAAATATTATTTCAGTAAATCAGTTTCATCAATCTAGCAGTCCATGACTGTGTCCTTTTGACTTAATTGCCAACTACTGTCCTGCAGTTCCCCTCCTACAGTTCAGAGCCCATGATGGATCCCTTGCGACCGGATGCCTTGTTCATCCTCTTGGAAGGATCCAATCAGTGTGCATACTGTTTAAACTAAGATGGTTTAACATTGCTCTTACTTTCCCCCATTCTTCTTTTTGCTTAGTTACAGAAGATAATGTAGTGCAGACCACACCTGAAAGCCTCACAGTGCAATCTTAAATAACGAAAACATCCTTCTAAGCCCATTGACTTCAGTGGGCTTAGAAGAGTATAACCCTGTTAAGTATTACACTGTCAGTGACTCTTGATATGTGCCTTGCCTTGATTCTTCATAAATATGTGGTTATAAGCTGCAAAAATCAAGTAGTACGTGGGTAGGTTAACTGACTAAAAAAGAAATTACAAGGCAATAATGCTTTCATGATTTTACCACTGCTGAATTGCCATGTTTCGCTTTGTTTTGGCATTTCAGCTTCTCTAGTTTTTATTTATTGTTCTTCCTTTTTCTTTATCAGACCTGTTTTCTTTGGAGTTGGGGAAACTACACTAGTTCTGTTTCACTTGTAGATACAGTAAAAAGGTAAAGGTAAAGGTTCCCTTGCTCGAAAGCCAGTCGAATCCGACTCTAGGGTTGCGGTGCTCATCTCCATTTCAAAGCCGAAGAGCCAGCGCTGTCCAAAGACGTTTCCGTGGTCATGTGGCCTGCATGTCTAAACACTGAGGTGCACGGAACGCTGTTACCTTCCCACTGAAGTGGTACCTATTTATCTACTTGCAATTTCTTGCTTTCGAACTGGTAGGTTGGCAGGAGCTGAAACTAGAGACGGGAGCTCACTCCGTCATGCGGCACACTCAGGTCTCGAACTGCTGAACTACCGACCTTCCACAGCCCGCAGTTCAGCGTCTTAACCACTTGAGCCACCGCAGCTCCCAAGTAGATGCAGTACTAAGGGCAAAAAGTAGGGCCTGAGTTCCTGTTTTGTGATTCTGAACTACAGCAAATAGAATTTTTTAAAGACATGAAGTGATGAAAAGGAAATTGGAACCAAGATGTGGGTAGCCATCAAAAGTAGCTTAACATCTTCAGAGGTGCAAGCTTATGAGGTCTTTGCTTGTTTCAGAGCACCACACAAGCACAGTAAGAAGATGCCGCTTTGATCCTCACAACCAGCGAATAGCTACGGTATCATCTGACATGTCTGTAAAATTCTGGGATATTGTAGCCCAGTCCACCACAATCACCGTTGAAAAGTAAGAAGCACTGAGGCAGCTGATGATGTGGCTGTTGTTTAAGCACTTTCTAGGGCAGAGAGGAAATTGTTACCACATGTATATAGGAGCAAGTGAATTTATTCAGTCAAGCCCTAGGGTCATACCAAAAACTTGGAGAGCTATCCAACTGAAGCAGAACGCTCTTACCTCCCATTGATTACAGTTGGCGAAGTTGTAAGGATAGTTCTAGAGGCGCTTATACAGACATTAAAACAGACAGTGCGAAGATTGGAGTGCTCGGTTTTTGAATCGTGCCAACATTAATGATCAAATGCTAGTGCTGTTAGAGCTGCCCTTAAAACAGATGGAAAATTTGTTTAGCTTTCACATTTCAGACATGGAACATTTGGATAATCCTATTTGGAATATAAGTCATAACATGTGCGGCTTTCTCATCCGCAGAAGTTCCCCCCACATCAAAGAGTGTAGGCCTACCATATTCAAACACTGGTAGTGTTCTTTCTAAACACCACCGTTGTTCTCAGCACTGGATTTTATTATGCTGTTGATTACCTTTTGCTTTTATGTTTGCTCAGTATAAGTTTTAAAATAGCTACATAGGTTCAGGTAATAAAGAGAGAATTGGCAGGTGTGCCAAGAAACGTTGCTTATAATTAAGCGCCTTGATATTGGGGAGGGATTATTATTGTTCTATATGCTGTGAAGAAGGTGCCATTGATTTGCTGAAGTGTCTTTTGAGGTCATATGTGAAGAGGAGAAATACTTTCATATTCAGAGCTGCTTTGCGTAGTTCAGAAAAGATACATCCAAAGCGTATTGCCTGTATCTTTTGTATAACATTTGAAGGCAACAGACACTGGAATGTGACTCTATGCCCGGGTGCCACAACTAGCTGAGGAAGAAGTGTGCTTGCGCACCAAAGCTTATGCCTTGAATAAAACTTTGTTGGTTTTAAAGGAGCCACGAGACTCAAACTTTGTTCTGCTGCTTCAGACCAACACGGCCACCCCACCTGAATCTATCAAGTTAAATAAAATACTGAAGGACTTTAAAAGTTCATCCAAACATACTTACTTTGAATGGTGGAGCTCCTTATGGAAGTGCACTCTTTGTGTGTTGGAACAAAACTTGAGTCCAGCAGCTGCCTAAAGTTAACAGGTTTTTCAAGGATATAAGATTTCGTGAATCAAAGCTCACTTGGTCAAATGACAAGATGAGCTTTGGTCCCGTTCACACTCACCGATTTGGTCCGGGAGCAGGACAGTTTGGGGCCGGATCAAACCGGCGCGATCACACCACAACATCTGGGAAGCGTCCGGCTTCCGTACCCAAACTGTCCCTTTCCCGGGATGAGCCGGCGCAAACTGAACCACCTATCTAGGTGGTTTAAAGGGAAGCGGCGCGGCAACCGGGGCGTTTGATCGCCGCCTTGCGCCGGCTCAACCCCGGCCCGGATCCGAACTGCGCATGCCCGGACATGCGCAGTTCGGCCGGCCCCCGGGTAGGGCGTGTTTTCTCCCCAGCGTTTGATCGCGCCGGGGAGAAAAGGCGGCGCGGCCGGGGGATCCGTGGGATCCCGCTGCGCCGTGTCAACATTGGCGCGGCTTTTAAAAGCCGCGCCTTCAAGCGCCTTTTCCCCTGCGTGTGGCAGGGGCCTTTGATTCATTGCAACTTATACCCCAGAAAATTCTGTTGGTCTTGAAGGTTTTACTGGACTCGGTTGTTGTTCTACTACTACAGACTTACATGACTACCCCCACCGGATATTGTCTTTATCTATTGTTCATATATACAGTCTTCTACCCAGGATTGTACTCAGAGGTCCTGTCCATACGAGGCCTTTTGGGCCAGAAGCGGGACAGAACGGGGGTGGAGCAAACGGGCGCGATCCCACCGCGACATCTGGGAAGCGTACCGTCTCCGTCCCAGATCCGGCCCTTCCAGCGCTGCTCCGCACCAAAAAAGAACCACCTACCGAGGTGGTTCTTTTCGAAGGGCCGCAGCAACGCTGACCGTGAGATCCCGCCCGCTGTCTCAACTTTGCTGCGGCTCACATTAGCCGCAGTTCGAGCGTCCTTTTCCCTGCCGTGTGGCAGGGACCAGAGAAAACCATTTCTCTGTGTTTGCCACAGAGTCAAGATGTGCCTTACACTGATTGTCTGGAGACTTGTAATGTCACCCTTCTTCTCCAAAAGCAGTTTTTCAACACTTTTGAAAAGTGCCAAGCCAACATTAAACTGGATAACCTTGCAAACAACACTTCAAAAAAGAGCAGACAGCCTACCTGTAAATATGGAGAGGCAGGTACAAAAACTGATGATGGTTAATCATAAAAGAGAAAGGACAGCAATATTGGTATGGGAGATGGACTTGCACTGTAGGAGAAAAAGACTGTGTAAAGTGCTTTTTTCTTTGTAAAGGCACATGTGTATGTCCTCTAAACATTCATAGCTATGTGCTTTTGCAAAGACCTCTGCTGCTGCTGAGATGAGGGAGAAACAAGCAGTTGAATGCCTGGAAATAATAATATCATTGGCAACTCCCAGACAAAGCAGTAGATGGCTATTTGATGTCCTCTGCAACCCCTGCATGTCTGAAGAGTGCTGTCAAGTTGCAGCCAACATGGCAACCCTACAGGATTTTCAAGACAAGAGACTTTCAGAGGTTGTTTGCCATTGCCCGCCTCTATGTAGCAACCTTGGACTTCCCTGGTGGTCTCTCATCCATGTACTAACCACCTTCTGAGATTTGACAAGATTGGGCTAGCCTGGACTGTCCATTCTAGCCCTGCTATCCAGGTTAAATCTCTGATATGTCATATTGACCGGTAACTCTGATAAGGAGCGAGCTTGGTGTAGTGGTTAAGAGCTGTGGACTCTAATCTGGAGAATCTGTTTTGATTCCCCACTCCTCCACATGAAGCCAGCTGGGTTACATTGGGCCAGTCACAGTTCTCTCAGAACTCTCTCAGCCCCGCCTACCTCACAGGGTGTCTGTTGTGGGGAGCGGAAGGGAAGGTGATATTAAGCCACACCAAGACTCCTTCGAGTAGTGAAGAGCAGGGTATAAAACCAACTCTTCTTCTTCCTCTTCAGTAAACATCCCAGTATCCTGTTGCAGTGATTTTTTTTTTTTTAATCTATTTCAGGGCACACACTAATGCAATTTCAGATTGCTGTTTCTCTTTGGATGGTCATTATTTGTGCACAGCAGGCTGGGATGAAGTCTTAAAATTATGGGATGTCAGAACAGGGGAGTTTCGTTCTCACGGACCCATGGTTTTGGAACAAGGTCACATAGGTATCGTTGGCTGCTGCATTTTCAGTAAAGACGGTGAGTTATGCAAAGCACCATTTTGAGGACATCTTTGCACAAACGTGCCCGGTATTTATTCCCGATGAGTCACAAGGGTCGCATTCAAACCACATGACTAATTCAGTTCTCAATTTCAGAACAAACTGATTTTCCGTTTGATTAAATGGTTGCTTGTATAATTGACGTAAACCGAACTTGATAGCTTACCCTGCTCTTTAATCAGCCTTCTGAAACGCTCCTTAATTGATATACTCATTAAGGTTCACTGTAAGAGGACGTAGCTGAGCTGAGAAATAAAATTCCAAGCCAGGCCACTATGCTGAATGCTTGCTGATTTTTCTGTTACATTCATTCATTCATTCATTCCAGCTCAGAAACTTTAACAATCCAGGCTTGACTTAATGCTGGGTAGATTTGTCTGCGTCCCAAAGACACTCAACAATGGGAAGGGAATGACCCTTTCCCCTTAGCGGGAATGTTGCCGATGGGCAGCTGCCCCGGGAGGCTGGTGGTGGCCAGGAGTAAGCCAACAGCACAGGCAATGCTACAGGCAGCCTTTGATCCAGTCAGTTGTGGCAATAAGTGTCATGCTTCTTCTCGGGCTGCTCCAATTGGACTCAGCTCCCAGCAGCACAGGAGGAAGCATCAGAAGAGCTTATGCCTGCAGTTGTCACTGCTGGCCAGGTCCAAGCCAAGAAGCCACTTGGCTTGTTCCTTGGCCATTTGTTAGCTGGTGGAGGGGTGGTGGTGTTTCATTTAACACATGCATCAGTTTCTGTCACACTCCTGTCAGGTATTTATTGTTTTGCCATGCATTGCCTGAGTTATCGACGGCATCATATCAGGGCCACCTTGACTTATTTTGACTTAGCGAAACACTTTAAAGCACCCTACAAAATTTATTTATTTACCACGTTTTTATCATGCCTTTCCGCTCGATCAGGGCCCCCCAAGGCATCACACATTAAAAGCATTAAAGCATTAGACAAAAGACCCAGTGAAAAGCAAACCAGTGTTCGGGAAGGATTGTAAGACTCTTCAACTGGTATGGCATTACAGTTGATGCACACACACTTGAAACCAGGGGTCATTTCGTAGAAAAAGAGCTAGGGGAACTCATTAGCATATGCCACACACCCTGATATCAGGGGCCCGGCGGTGGACCTGCAAGGCCAGCGGGAGTGCGAGGAAGCCCTGCGAAGGCCCTCCCTGGCCCCAGGCAGGCAGGGGTGGGGAGAGGCAGGGAGGAAGCAACTTACCCTCCCTCTTCTCCTGCCTCCTCCTGGCTGAATGAGGGCTGGAAGCGGGGCGGCCGGAAGCAGGGGGCGGGGCTTCATCATGTGCCCCACCCCCCTGCACCTCACCCGGGGGAACTGTGTTCCCCCGCGTTCCCCCCCCCCCGAAATGACCTCTGCTTGAAACGTATCTGCTTTAAATCACAGGAGTAGTGTGCTGGCTTTTTAAGTCCAAAAAGCTTTTATTGCAAGATGTCAGAGACCGGAGACTGGTTTCCCCTGGGTTATTGCTCCTGGGTCCCTGTGTGGAACCCCTGAACAACTTCTCAGACCTGCGGGTCCTCAAGGTTAGATGCACACAAGAAAACCAGACCTTGTAAAAATATATATTGGTTTATTAAATTATTAAAAGAATTAACTATGCAGTACAGTCTTTATGGCTTAGCAACAAGGAGACAAGCTAACTTTTCTATTTAATACTTTGAGTACTTTAGTATTAGATGGCCAATCTGTTGCAGCATAAAATCCATGCAGTTGCATAAAAGCCATCTACACTTTGTACTCCATCGTGATAAAGGATAACACATCTAAGCACGCGAGCATGACATTAGCTGTGGCCTGTACCCTTATTATAGCTTCTTGCCCTCTGGTATTAGGCAGTTTCTCATGTCCAATCCAGACTTTTCTTCATTGGAACTTTCCAGAGGATGTTGGTAACTGCTCCTAATTCCTCCCTCCCATCTGGTTATACAACTGAGCACAGGTTCCCATGATTAACCAATTACCATATTTTTGAGTCTGGCCTTGAAAAAGATAAGGATGGCAGCTGCAGAGACATTGAGATCACAGACACCAGCAAGGCAGACTAGGCCTTTTAATATTCATGGTAACCTGTGAGGGGAGGTTAGAGTGCTTGGCCTCATATAAGTAAACACAAACTCCTGCAGCTGCCATCTGAAGCGGTACATTCCGAGCAAAGGTACACCGCAAAGTTATTCTGAATGTGTAGACCATCTATAAATGTATGCTTCCACTTCTGTACCCATTAAAGCCTTCCAGAAAGTAGCTTCTGATAACGTATGATGACGTTGCTTTTAATGCTGTATTTAAGCTGTGTTAGTGGTCAGGTCTTCCCTGCCTGAATGCACCTCTGCAGAATCAGGATGCAAAGTAGCGGTTATGACTTTCTAATTTTGTATTTCAGCATCACTGCTGGTATCGGGTGGTTTTGACAAGACAGTAGTCGTCTGGGATTTGACACAAGCCTATAAAAAGATAAGTTTAAAGGTATGTAAGCTCTGTAAGCTTTCACTGTGTCAAAGGAGAGCTTAATTTTGGTTCTGCAGAAGTATGCAGCTAATGGGGGACTCCAAGAGCAGTCTGTCAATTAGTGGTGAACATGTAACAAAAGTTCTCGCCACAAGAATAGTGGAATGGACACTTAAGAATCTCTCTTTGTTTCCCTTCTTCACATTACTACAATTAAGGGTCACATAATTTACACGAGCTGTTTTTAATATCCCAACCTCTCTCTCTCTGTATATATATAGAGGGGGGGTAAAGGTTTCTTTTGCTCGAAAGCCAGTCAAATCCAACTCTAGGGGATGGTGCGCATCTCTGTTTCCAAGCCAAAGAACCAGCGCTGTCCGAAGACTTCTCCATGGTCATTTGGCCAGCATGACTAAATGCTGAGGAAGTTGTCCTTTCCCCTTTTATAGTTCATATAACCATTCAGAATGTTTTTTGGATAATCTGCTATTACACTATTCCCCAAAACCCCAGCCTATCAAATCACTGAGCCAGACCTGTAGATATAAACAGAAAACGGGTTGTAGCTGCTAAGTAACTTCATGGTCATCACCTGTTGCAGTTGTTTAATAGCCATCACATAACCATAACACCTAGCAACACTATCCAGTGATGTTTATGGTTCATTTTGCTTACACTTGAGAAGCAGTAAGCGGTTTTTGTAAATGTTCGTATGCAAAGATAGAGATCCCTGTTTTTACCATTCACCTCTTACAGTGGAAAATAGAACTGGGTCATTGGTAACAGTTGTGAAAATTTCTCTTATCTAAAGTGCTATAGAATTTCCAGATTTAAAACAAAATTAAAGTTATTAAACAGTTACTGAAAGTAGCAAAGTATTTCTAGCAACAACTGAGATAGAATTTAACATACAAAAGATAACGTCCGACTCAGAAAAAAAGAGCTCGAAAGTGGAAAGTATTTCATTTTCTGAGAGCCAGTTTGGTGTAGTGGTTAAGAGCGCGGACTCTAATCTGGGAGAACCGTGTTTGATCCTCCACTTGCAGCTGCTGGATGACTTTGGGCAAACCATAGTTCTGTCAGAGCTGTTCTCTCAAGAACAGTTCTCTCAGAGCTCTCTCAGACCCACCTACCTCACAGGGTGTTTGTTGTGGGGAGGGGAAGGGAAAGGAGTTTGTAAGCCGCTCTGAGACTCCGAGTGAAAGGCGGGGTATAAATCCAATCTCCTCCTCCTTCTTCGACCTGGTTTAAAAACTAAGTTACAGTACATCAGGAAATTCTGCTTTTATCCTAATGCTGAAAATTGTTTCTCTGCAGGGTCATGAACACTGGGTGACAGATGCTACAATTAGTAGCAACAAGAAGCTGATTGTGACTTCGTCAAAGGTATCAGTTAAAAGTAGGGATGGCAGCCTCTTGCTGCGACCTGGGAATCTCCAGGAATCACAGCTCATCTCCAGACTATGGAGACCAGTTCCCCGGAGAAAATGGATGCTTTGGAGGGTGGACTCTGGCATTGTACTCCACTCAGGTCCCTGTCAATGTTCCCTCTAAGCTGTGGAGTCTGGTGAGCAAAGATGCTACTTTGTGAGCTACTGGCATTAAAGTTGTGAGCGAGCAATTTGGCTGCTGCATAAATTAGTCTGCTCTGGAGCCATCCTTCTTGAGCTAAGACAAAAATTTGTGAGCTGGAGGCTAAAAAGCTGTGAGCTGGCTCACACTAACTCGGCTTAGAGGGAACACTGGTCCCTGTCCTCCCCAGATCTCCAGGGGTTTCTCAACCTGGATGTGGCAACCCCACCCCCCACCCCGCTGATGGCCAGGGTGTGTGTGCTGGCAACCCTAATTAAAAAGCAGTTATAGAAAAACAAGCTTGAAGGTTTTGGGTATGACCCAGCAAATTGGTTTCTCAGAATGCCATCCTAAGCAGAGTTACATCCTTCTAAACCCATTGACTTTAATAGACTTAGAAGACTGTAACTTATTTATTTATTTATTTATTTATTTGATTTATATCCCGCCCTCCCCAAATGGGCTCAGGGCGGCTAACAAAAGAGGCAAATGCCATAACAAACAATTAAAACAACATAAAAACAATAATTAAACAAAGTGTGGTTCTCTTGATGTTAAGTCTTATTAGTCAAAGATGGGTTCCATTTTTCAACCTAACCTGACAGCATACGTTCTTCGGTCATCTAGGCGTCTTCCCAGGGCCAGCTCACCTCTAGGTCTAATCCACCGTCAAAGATGGCAGCTCGGTGGTGGCACAATGGCGGCGGCTTCTATGCAAAGGCCTGGCGGAAGAGCTCCGTCTTACAGGCCCTGCGGAACTGCACCAGGTTCCACAGGGCCCAGATCTCCTCTGGGAGCTCGTTCCACCAGACAGGAGCCGCCGCTGAGAAAGCTCTGACCCTGGTTGTGGCCAACTTGATGTCCTTGGGGCCTGGAACCACCAATAGGTGCTGCGCCCCCGACCAAAGTGCTCTTGGGGGAACTTTTGGGGAAAGGCGGTCCCTTAGGTACGCTTTGTTTAGGATTGCACTGTAAAAATGCAGAAGAATATTTTCAGCCAGTGACACATTGTTTTGAAGATCTTTGGAAACATGTCTTACATGGGACACAACTCCAACCCCCTTCCCACTGTAGCAGGCATTCATTCAGAAACTGTAGTTACTAGCAAGAGCTGAATTAACGGTGGGGAGAGACTGTAATTCAGCTAATTGCTTGAAATATTCCTGATTTTTGTAGGATTGTACTTTGAGGCTATGGGACATTGAAAACGCAAATGACATCCCACTGGTAATACAAGCTATAAGAGCAAGAGGCTCAAAGGTAGCCAAGGTCAGTATAATCATATAACAGAACTATTAGGCCCACTTCCACCTGTGAGTATACACAGAGTCCCTCCTTTTCATTGAATCCCAGGACCCTGTGAGCAATACCAGTGATGGTTAGATTGCATCTGCTCCCATCTCAGAGCAATATAGCTTTAATGCACCAAAATGCAGCCATAAGCTTATTTTGAATATTGGGTCTCAGCCCTTCAATGTATGAAGCAGTGATAAAGGAGGACGCCATTGAGCAGACAGAAGCTACACTTTCCACTATGGAGTAACATTATCCTTCCACCACACAGTCAACTGGCATGCAGCAAAAGTTTATAGTCCTTAGCACATCTCCTTGTAGAAATAAAAATCTGCCACTTAGCTCTAATGGCCCTCAGCTAATGATATTTTTTTATTTCTACAAGAAGATACGCTGAAACTCATCAGCTCTTGCTGCACTGTGATCCTGGGCATGTGTGAACAGAGCAAAGTAGTATAAACTGAGAAAAGCTCCCCCCCCTTAAGATCGGTGTGAAAGGGAAAGGTAGGAATTTGCTACAATTATAGGTACTGAAAGATCATGTTTCCTTTCATGTGAGTGTTTCTTCAGGGGTGGGGGAAGATCTAGCATATCTTCCCATGCTATCCCGCCCACTTAGTCCATGTCCAGAATAACATAAGCCATACTGAGCACCATCCATTTATGGTGGTTATTAAATACTGGGTTCAAGATGCATTGCAGTGAGCAGCTCTACTTTATTAAGTGATTGCAGGGACAAGACTAAAACACCAGGGCAACCACCCTGTTTAAATAGCATGCAAAAACCACACCCAACTCCCAATGATAGGCTATTTATATAACACTAGTTTCTCATTGGTCGCTTCCGGAGTCCTGGTGGGCTATTTTTCTAGAGCTTCAAGCTCAGTCAGTCTCTGGTAGACAGGCCTGGAATGTTCCAGTCTGAATACATAACTGTGGTGGAAAGTGCTGTTAAGTCACAGCCAACTTACAGCAAGCAGTAGGTTTTTCATGGCAAGAGATGAACAGAGGCCCCGGTCACACGGGCCGGATATCGCAGGGGGGGAGGCGTGGCTAATTGCCCCGGTGCAGTTTGATCCGCGATTACGTGATCAGACGCACCGGCGGCACACCACGGGTCCTTCTCTCGGCGCCGGCGGGTAAACGAGGGACCGGAGGGGAATGCCGTGCACCAGCGCAATCACACCACGGGCGTCTGGAGGCAGCCCGTGGCAAACGTTTACTAGTACCTTGGAGGTACTTGTTTTTTAACGCGCATTGTCAGCGGTAAGCCACGGGTGCGCTCCACTTCCCAGATGCTGGGGTGTGATCGCGCCCGGATAATCCGCCCACCATCCGTGCCTCTCCCGCGGCAATTTTGCCATGTGACCGGGGCCAGAGATGGTTTTCCATTGCCTGGCTCTGTGTGGTAAACCTGGACTTCCTTGGTGTTCTCCCATCCAAGTACTAACCAGGGCCAACCCTGTTTAGCTTCCAAGATCTGATGAGATCAAGCTTGCCTGGGCCATGCAGGTCAGGGCTTCTCCATTTATACTGGGTACAGAAGGTGCCTGGTGAATAACAGTGTTAGCCAACTATCCAATTTCTTAATAAGTGGGGGGGAATATGAATATTAAATGGCAATAGGCATTAATTATGGGACCGATAACCTGTGTATGTGGGAGTCTCATTTGTCCAGAGCCCAGAAATAGACGCTGAGGCTAGATCTTCAAAGCAATGATTTCTTTACTGAAAGATTCTCACACATACAATATAAAAACCATGCATACACACAAGCATTACAGATCTAGGAATTCAGATAGAAAGGTACAGGGACTGTTGCATTAGCAGGAGGTATCGTTGATAGGGCAATACGTTACCTGTCTGATGCAGCGAGTCGATTCCGCAGCAAAAAAGGGATAAAAATATGGGAAGGGGATCATGAGTTGGCCAGCGACACACATGGAAGGTTCCAAATTCAACTGTTAATGGGTCAGGAAAAGGAGTTAATCGTTGGGCAACTGAAATAATGGTTTGACTAAATAGTGAAACCTCTTAGGGGGAAGGGTCGAGACAAAGGAGACAAAAGAAAAGCGATATTCTTGCAGCTTGGCCGGTAATTGGTCTTAACAACCAGATGGTTAACAGCTGTGTTATCTTGATGGGTGGCTGGAGGATGTGACAGCTTGTCAATCCCATCATGGAGTACATCCTGTTGTTCTAGATGAGTAGGAGTACATGCTTCACCTGGTGATGCTAATGTGTGTGTGGGGGGGGAATGCCTGCATTGTGTAGAAGGGAGTTCTTCATGGCGTCTGTTCCTGAATCTCCTGGCTTCTTCATAGAACATGGCTTTCCATGGTGATCTGCTGCTCTCTCTGTGTGCTTAGAAGTCAGGGCTGCTGGTCTGCCTGCTGGTGCTGGTGTAGAGATGCAGGGGCGAGAGACATCTTGTAATCCATGGGTCCATATCTGGGTTTTTGTGCACTCCAGTATAAGGGCATTGCTCCAAGGCTACAGTTCTGTCCATTGCTGGGCAACAACAGCATTTTATGTGTGCTAGTGCCCTGATAGGTTTCTCTTAATAGGCTTTGCTCCATTCCTCAGAGATGCTTTGCAAGGTTTCTCAACCTCAGTACACACTATACAAATATAATCGCAGTTACAAAATAGAGTACTGCCGAGGCACCCCCCCCCCTTCTAGTAACAGTTCAGGAGAACTTTTCTTTGCAGAATGAATGTAGTGGTTTTCTGCTGAACATCCATGGCTGCTTGCTAGCTGTTGCTTAGTACTTAAATATTATTTGTTTGAAACATTTAAATTTATGTGCTGCCTCTCAAGACCTGCTCTTGGTGGCTTTACAGCTAAGATTGTAATAGAAAACCATTAAAACATACCTATTAAAAACAAATCTGTTGAAACACAACCATAAAAAAACAGGCCAACGCCATTAAAACAAGCCAGGGAATAACAATAGCACAAAATCAAATATTTCTAAAATTGATGCATTTAATGTTTTTTTTTAGTGTTGTTGAAAATTATCTATTTTATTTGAATCACTGATATGTCTTCTTTAAATTAGTGTGAAGAATGTGAGAAGCCCTTCTTAATCTTCCAGGAAAAGGAAGAAAAAGTGGAAACCAGATGTGTTTTCTGTCGACTGAAAGCTCACAAGAGCGTTTTACCAGTGCCTCCGTCCCTGCCTGCCGATCTCTAAATGAATCAGTGTTAAAATGCTTGTACTATGTGGCAGTTGTTTAAAATGTTTATGTTTAGAGAATGATTCTGGGAGTTCTTTGCCTGTATGTCCAGAACTCAAACATTTAGGTGTGATTTCTTCATTGGAAAATCCAAGGGATGCTGACTAGTGGAAACACTTTTCTCCCCAACTGCACAGCAACTATTTTTCAAGTCACTTTATGCTGGGATCCCTGTAGAACTGGGTCGTCTGTTATGTCCTATAAATGAGGAAGCTATAAAATAAAAATGACTGTTACAAATGCTGTCACGCAACTAAGTACCGTGCGGCTTTCTCTCAAGCATAATTGAAAAAGTCACTGTGGCAATGAGAGAAAGAAAATGTCATGTGAATCAGTATTAATTCAGCATGCAATATGTGAACCACTTCTGACAATGTTAACCCAGTGCAGGCTTCAGCTGAGAACTGGGTCAAGTTATTGAAATATGTCCCCATTCTGCTGTATTTGCATATGTGTGTACGAAGCAGACAGAATAGTCTGACACGAAGTCACTGGTCACTGATCTCAACTTTTTAACTGGGAACTGGAAACTCCACCTTAAGATTTTTCTTCTCCATCAGTTCACAACTTTAAATGTTGTGGGACGTATTTGTTTGTTGCCAAAAACTTCCCTTGTAAATGATTTGCAGGACTTCTCGTCCGTAACAACAAATGCTGGTGGCAAGGAAATTTTTCACCATACCAAAAAGTTAAGAACTGAATAGTCCAAGTACCAGCATGGATTCTGCCTCTTTTAGAAATCTTTTAAGATTGCTTAATGGAAAATGAAAGCTTTAAAAACGGGATCATTTCTCAGAAATCCATTTTTCTGAATATTATGTTTTATGAGTTCACAGTATAAAAACATAGTCTGGCATGCAGCAACTTTTAAACATGCTTTAATAATGGAATAAATCATAATTTGCTATTGGTATAAGAAAATAAGTTATGTAGATAACTTGGATAATTTTCTAATTTAAAAACAACGTATTTTTGGCAGCTGCAATGCACTGTATTTCAATAAAATGTTCTTTTAGTTAATATATGTTTTTCATTAACAGGATTTTAAAAGACCTTATATATTATTCTGGTGTGTGTTCTTTGTTATTTTTGATTTAGAATATTTTTAACCCATCTTTCTGCTATCTCAAGCCCCCAAGGCAGCTAACAAAGCACTTTTAACAGTTCAATATGTGAAGCAGAAAATAAAACACATTGGGTACATTACAACAGGTACCGCTAACATACCGCTAACATACCGCTGCCAGCACAAAACAGAACAAAAAATCTTCAGCTTGCTCTAGAAGGCCTGTTGGGGAAAAAAAGCACCACTCTAACTTTATAGTAGCCAACTTCCAGTTGGGGATTGGAATTCTCCTAGAATTGCCACTGCTGTCCAGACTAAAGAGGTCAGTTCCTGTAATGTATCCAGTCCAGACCGCATGGCCGGCTTGGGCTCCACGGGGTCAGGCACAAACGTTGAGCTTCGCTCCAAGAGACAATGGACTATGCGAATCCTAGCCCGCTCCAATCTCGGCCACTGTAAATAACCTATTGGGAAGTGGTGTGTGTGTGTTTTGGGTGGCGGTTTCTCGGGGAATATAAGCTGGCGTGCGAGCCGGCCAAAGTCCTCTTGTTCCTGATCAAATAAAGTACGCTTGCTGAAATCACTCTCCGTATGCGTACTTTTCACTGGCGACGAGGATGGGATTCATCTCCCTCTGAACAGAGACCACGTTCCGGACATCGCCGTGAGCCGCCGCACCAAATTTGCCACCGCCGCCAGCATCAAGCATCTTCGAGAAGTGTTGCTCACCGCTCCCGAGCTCCGAGCATCACGCCCCTGACCCCAAGAGCAGCACCGCACTGCTCCGCCTCTACGCAATGCCGAGCATCGCGCTGCTGACCCCGAGAGCAGCACCACACCGCTCCAACATCTACGCCGCTCGCTTCCACGTGGAACCCGTAACATGGCTGCCGCATCAGAGAGCCTCCCAGTTTTCAACATCTCCCAACCCTCGCAGTGGGAAACCTGGCTGGAAACTTTTGAGAGCCATTTCACCATCCACGGAGTGGTGGATCCAGGAATAAAAAACGTGTACCTGCTGTGCCACTGCGGGATGGAGACCCATCTCCTGCTTAAGGACTTAATAGCGCCCAAGCTGACCAAAGAAGAGTCGTACAGCTCTTTGGTCAAGGCGCTGACCGATCACCTGGCTCCCAAACCAACGAAGTTTGTGGAGCGCCTGGACTTTTTCGTGAAGGTCCAGGGCTCCGACAAGACCGCCTCAGATTTCCTGCCGGCTCTGTGGCGAGGAGCGACCAGGTGCCCCTTCTCCAACCTAACCGAAACTCTCCTCAACCAGTTCCTCATGGGACTAAGAGAGCTGAAGCTTCAGAGGAAGCTGGTAAGCCATGACGACCTGGACCTGGAGAAGGCAATCCGGGAGGCCACTGCATAAAAAAAGGCCCACCAAGACCGCCGCACCAAGGCAGTCCACCGCACACAAGCGACAGCCAGCTCCGACGCCTTGGACAAGGACGAGGTGCACCAGGTCTGTTGTCAGTCGTCTCAGCCATCTGCCAATGCAGGCAAAGCCTCTTCAACCGCCTCTGCCCTGTGCGCTTGCTGCAGAGAGGGTCACGAGCACCGGTCGTGCCGTTTCCGAAATGCAGTCTGCCGGACCTGCAACAAATCGAGGCACATTTCCCGGGTTTGCCGTTCCAAGGGACAATGCCAGAAGTCATCCGCCCACCAGACCACACCATATCGGCCCACTTCCCGCAATACCAAGTCTGTAACTTGCCCCCCGATGGCCCCAACAAGATGCATGTCACAGTTCTTATAGAGGGATACCCCTGCAGCATGGAGATCGACATAGGGTCGACCTACTCCATTATCTCTGCGAATACGCTCCACATGCTGTGTCCGAAGGGGGGCCCGCCCCTTCAGAAGCCGCGGGGTTTCCTTCAGAAGCCGCGGGTTTCCAGTTAAGGGACTTCAATAAGAACCCCATGGCGGTATTGGGCTGGGGCAAGTCCCGGGTGCAGTTCCAAGACTTTAACGGCCCCTTAGAACTGCTGGTGGTAGATAGGCCTCTCTCCAGTCTGCTGGGACTCTCTTGGTTCAAGGCCCTGGGATTATCTCTGAATGGAATCCACCAGGTCGGGTCACAGGATTTTGGCATGGTGTGCACAGAATTTCCCCGCATTTTTGATGGCACTCTGGGACGCTTCTCTGGGCCTCCCATCTCCCTGGATCTCGACCCGGCGGTGCGGCCCATTTGCGTCAAGGCCAGGCTGCCGCCACTAGCAATGAAGCCTAAAATCGAGGCCGAGCTAGATTGCTTAGTGGAACAAGGGGTTCTGGAACCAGTCACGTTGGCACGGTGGGAGACCCCCATAGTCACCCCGGTGAAGCCCAATGGGGATGTGCGCATTTGTGCAGATTATAAATGCACGCTAAACAAGGCTCTGCAGGCACACGCTTATCAGGTGCCGGTGGTGAGCCACGTGTTGGCGGCTTTGGCGGGGGGCTGGGTCTTCGGCAAGTTGGACTTGGCCCAGGCTCAATGTTCCCTCTAAGCTGTGGAGTTTTGTGATTGAAAATTCTACTTCGTGAGCTACTGGCAATAAAGTTGTGAGTGGGCGATTTGGCTACTGCATAAATTAGTTTGCTCTGGAGCCGTCCTTTCTGAGCGAAGGCAAAAATGTGTGAGCCGGAGGCTAACAAACTGTGAGCTAGCTCACACTAACTCAGCTTAGAGGGAACACTGCCAGGCGTATCAACAACTGCTGGTTGATATCGCCACGTCTGAAGCTCAAACACAACTCACAGGGGGGCGTTGAAGATTCACTGCCTCCAGTTTGGAGTCTCGGTCGTGCCCGGGATTTTTCAATCTTTTATGGATTCTCTCCTGAAAGGCATCCCTGGGGTTCAGCCATTTCTAGACGACGTGCTGATCGTGGCTCCGGATGACTCGTCCTTCGTTGACCGTCTGAGGGCCGTACTACAACGTTTTGACACAGCAGGGCTCAGAGTCAAGCGGGGAAAATGTCTCTTGGGGGTGCCTCGCGTCGAGTTCCTGGGCTTCGCGGTCGATGCCTTGGGTATCCACCCCACTGCAGACAAGGTGACCGCCATCACTCAAGGCGCTGCCTCCAGCGTCCAAGTCC